ATAAATTTAAAATATATTTTAAAAAACAAATGTAACACCTTAATCAATAAACAAACTAAAAATAAATAAAATAAAATATGAAGAAAACTATTTAAAAAACGGGGCATAAGGAGGGGTGGGGAGGGGAATGGGGGAACTAAGGACACACATGTAACACCTCAATCAATAAATTAATCAAAAATAAATAAAATGAAATATAAAAAAAAAACCAACCAGGGCTTAAGACTGAGAAGTCAAAAAAGTAAAAAGAAAACTTGACCCTCCCCCCCCCCCCCAAAAAAAAAAAAAGATGAAAAAAAAACACACCCTACAACAAAGAAAAAGTAAGACCGGAAGGAGTCCTGCCGAGGACGTGAGCCGCGATCCTTTGAAAAGACCAAAAGGGACAAGAAGCTGCTATCTGCCCGGCTAGCTCAGTCGGTAGAGCATGGGACTCTTAATCCCAGGGTCGTGGGTTCGAGCCCCACGTTGGGCGGTTGGGAATTTTTCTTTCTCTTTCTTTTTCTTTTCCTTCCCCAGTTCGATCTCAGACCTCATCCGCGGCTTGTTCTTTTCTTTCCAGCCACTCAAGACATTAAAAAACAAAACCAAACACGATGAAGGCGGAAGCAACTGGTGGAGAGGGTACTCGGGGAACGGAGCGGCTCACTGCAGAAAGACGCGAAGGGTAAAATAAATAAATACAGGCATGCATGGAAATAAATACATAGGTGTACGCAAAGGTTTAAGCAAATAAATATATAAACAAATAAATACATAGAAACACGCAAAAGGTAAAGCAAACAAGCTAATGAATTAAATATAATAGAAGGAAACACGCAGAGATTTAAATAAATAAATAAAAACATGCATAGAAATACGCAAAGGTTAAAACAAACAAACATGAATTAAATAGAAATACACAGAGGTTTAAATAAATAAATAAATAAACAAACAAATACATAAATAGCAAAATAAATCCATAGAAATACACAAAGGTAGCTGAAACGGGTGTGGCTCAGTGGATAGAGTGTCGGCCTGAGGACTGAAGGATCCAAGGTTCGATTCCCGCCAAGGGCACAGACCTTGGTTGCGGGCACATCCCCAGTGGGGGGTGTGCAGGAGGCAGCTGATGGATGTTTCTCTCTCATTGATGTTCCTAACTCTCTATCCCTCTCCCTTCCTCTCTGTAAAAAAATCAATAAAATATATATATTTTAAAAAATAAAAATAAAGAAATACGCAAAAGTTAAAGCAAACTAATGAATTAAATAGAAAGAAATACGCAAAGGCTTAAATAAATACATAAATAAATAGAAATACGCCAAGGTTTAAACAAATTAATGAATGAATGAAATTTAAATGAATATGCAAAGGTTATCTGATGTAGAAAAATATTGGTTACGAAAAAATAAAAAATAAAAAAACGAACAAGACAAATATTGGTGAGGAAGCCAGAGTTCAGAGGCAGGCCCTCTCCTGACACTGTGGGCTTTGCAAACATGGCTGAGGTCACTGCTGTCCCAGCTGGTGTTTTTTAAGCTGAAGGTCATGCCAAGTTCAAGATTCCTTTGGCGCTAGATCAGCTGTGCCTAAGGGTATAGGATGCGGATTAAGTGCATATCTATGAATTCCTTTATTTTACTTTTATGTATAAATTCCTTTCCATGCCTAGTGAGGGCTAGTGAGTATTCTGGGATGTTTTTATTTTTATTTTTTATTTTTTTCATATATATTTTTACTGAGAGGAAGAGAAAGGGATAGAGAGTTAGAAACATCAAAGAGAGAGAATCATCGATCAGCTGCCTCTTGCACACACCCCACTGGGGATGTCCGGGCAACCAAGGTCCATGCCCTTGACCAGAATCGAACCCGGGACCCTTCAGTCCGCAGGCCCAGGCTCTATCCACTGAGCCACACCAATTAGAGCATTAATTTCTTTCCTTTTTTTTTTTTAAAAAAAAAATATATATTTCTGATTGATTTCAGAGAGGAATGGAGAAGGAGAGAGAGAAACATCAATGATGAGAGAGAATCATTGATCGGCTGCCTCCTGCACGCCCCACAGTGGGGATCAAGCCTGCAACCCGGGCCTGTGCCCTGACCGGGAATCGAACCCATGGCAATCAAACCAGTTGATTCCTAGGTTGACAATCGCTAAACCACACTGGCTGGGATTATATTTTTCCCATCATTCCCAGCAATTCTCTCACGTCCCCCACAATGACCATATATGATTAATGTCACTTCATGACACAATTTCAGACTTGGGAAGGGACACACGGAAATTTTTAGCATCAGAAATGAAGCTCTCACCCTAACTGGTGTGGCTCAGTGGATAGAGAGTTGGCGGACTGAAGGGTCCCAGGTTTGATTCTGATCAAGGGCATGTACCTTGGTTGCGGGCACATCCCCGGTGGGGGGTGTGCAGGAGGCAGCTGGTCAATGTTTCTTTCTCATCGACGTTTCTAACTCTCTATCCCTCTCCCTTCCTCTCTATAAAAAAATCAATAAAGTATAATTTTTTAATATATTTTTATTTATTTTTTTACCGAGAGGAAGAGAGAGGGATAGAGTTAGAAACATTGATTAGAGAGAAACACCGATCAGCTGCCTCCTGCACACCCCCCACCGGGGATGTGCCCGCAACCAAGGTCCATGCCCTTGACCGGAATCAAACCCGGGACCTTTCAGTCCGCAGACCGACGCTCTACCACTGAGCCAAACCGACTTCAGCAGATTCTTTATATATATATATTATTGATTTTAAAAAAGATATTATTTATTGATTTTTAAAAATATATATTTTATTGATTTTTTACAGAGAGGAAGGGAGAGGGATAGAGAGTTAGAAACATCGATTAGAGAGAGTCATCAACCAGCTGCCTCTTGCACACCCTCTACTGGGGAAGTGCCCGCAACCAAGGTACATGCCCTTGCCCGGAATCGAACCTGGGACTTTTCAGTCGGCCGGCCGACGCTCTATCCACTGAGCCAAACCGGTTTTGGCTATTTTGTTGATTTTTAACAGAGTAAAAGGGAGACAGAGAGCTAGAAACGTCGATGAGAAAGAAACATTGACCAGCTGCCTCCTGCACACCCCCTACCGGGGATGTGCCCGCAACCAAGGTACATGCCCTTGACCAGAATCGAACCCGGGACCTTTCAGTCCACAGACCGACGCTCTACCACTCAGCCACACCGGCTTCGGCTGTTTCCAAATCTTAGCTGTGGTGAATGGTGCTGCTATGAACATGGGGGTGCATATGTCCTCTCTGGTGGGTGTTTCTGGTTTCTTGGGATATAGTCCTAGGAGTGGGATCACTGGGTCCAATGGGAGTTCCAAGTTTTAATTGTTTGAGGTTAGAAAGTTGTGTGTGTGTTTTTAAAAATATATTTTATTGATTTTTTTTTTACAGAGAGGAAGGGAGAGGTTTCGGCAGAAAGTTTTAATTCCGGACCCTCCTACGTAGATATGTCCAATCTCCGAGTGTGTGAGGCCGCCACGCAGGTCTTCCCTGAGCGAGCTGTCAGGTTTAGGAAGTTTGCTGTGTTTGCCATTAGGGTCTCCGCTCAGACACAAGGGGCCCCTGCGGACCTGACTCAGGTCCCTGCGTGGCGGCCTCGCAGACTCAGAGCCCTGAACCCCCCCACAGGACGGTCTGACATTAAACTGGGAGGAGAAGCGGGGGGGCCCTCCCAGGCCGCCTCTGCCCTCACGGAGCCCGTCTGTCTGTCTGTCTGCCTCTGGGTCCAGGGTTTGATTCAGGTCAAAGGCATGTACCTTGGTTGCAGGCATGTCCCCAGTAGGGGGTGTGCAAGATGCAGCTGATCGATGACTCTCTCTCATCCATGTTTCTAACTTTCTATCTCTGTCTCTTCCTCTCTGTAAAAAATTAATAAAATATATTTAAAAATTAAAAAAAATTAAAGAAATACAAGTGTAACCGGAGCATTACCTCAATTCTTTGAGGTTCTGCTTCCCGGCATATGTCGACAGTTTGGCTCCAAACAATTCTTTCTTTTTAAAAAATGTATTTTATTGATTTTTCACAGAGAGGAAGAGAGACAGAGAGTTAGAAACATCAATGAGAGAGAACAGAATCATCGATCTGCTGCCTCCTGTGCCAGCAACCAATGCACACGCCTTTCACCGGAATCGAACCTGGGACCCTTCAGTCCGCAGGCCGAGGCTCTAGCCACTGAGCCAAACCGGTTTCGGCACAAAACTCTTTATAGGTTTCCATGCTGTTGTTTTTTCACGTTAACACTGCCTTTCTGTGCAATTGTCCCTGTGTATCCATTTTGCAGCTGAGCCAAAGAGGGACTTTTGCAAACAGGAGAGCGACGTGAGGCCATGCATCCACGTGGCGCGTTTGGGGCACATCCCTAGAGATTGGTGACGAAGGCTGAGGAGCGGGGTGGCGCACCCCACCACTCTAGGGGCTCCAAGGCCGAGCTCACGCCTGCAGACCGGCTCGAACCCCTGGGATCCGCAGGCCACGTGGACTAGCAGGGAGCCTGGGTCCATCATGGTGGGTTCCTTCCATCCAGGCCTTGGGGGGCCTAGAGCTGCCCACGCCCTTTCCTTGCAAGCCGCCACCTCCTGGTAGCCCGCGGCCTGCACACACTGGGCCTTTCCCGCTCCTTATCGCCCCACGAACCAACCCCTCGCGAACCCCTTACACCGCCCAGAATAAGGGGATGGAAGAGCGGGTGAGGAGCGGTCGCCGGAACTACAGTTCCCGGCATGCCCCGCGCGCGCGCGCGGCGGCGGCGGCGCGGCGTAGAGCGCGCGCGCGTCCGTGGGCGGGGCGCCTGGCAACGCGGCTGCGCACTCGCGGCTCCTGTGAGGTGTTCGGGCGCCGGCAAATCGCGCCGCCCGGGATGTAGCGCGGGCGCTGCCGTCGGCGTCTGACGCGCAGCTGGGTGGGGTGGCGAGTGGGGGGCGGTCGTCGGGGTGGTGGTGGGAGAAGGAGGAGGCGGCGGCGGCGGCGGCGACGGCGGCGAATCCCTCATAAATGGCGCCGAAGCAGGACCCGAAGCCTAAGTTCCAGGAGGGTGAGCGCGGGCCCCGGCGGCGGCGGCGGCGGGTAACGGGGTAGCGGCGGCGCTTTGTGCGGAGGCGCATTGCGGCGCGGGGCGGGCGGGGAGCGGGGCCCGGGGTGCGGGCCTCTGCCGGCGGCTGCGGTGTGTGAGGCGGCGGCGGGGGGCGGCCGGGCGCCATGGCGGCGCGGAGGCGGGAGCGGCGGGAGGGGCGCGGGCGGCAACGGCCGGGGCTCGGGGCGCCGACGTGGGTGGGGGGCGCGGGGGGAGGGAGATGCGGGGCCCTCGGGGCGGGCGGGGCGCGCGGGCGGGAGAGCGGCGCAGCGAAATGGCCGCCGCAAGATGGCGGCCGCGCCTCCCGCGCCCCCTCCCCTCCCCGCGGGGCGGGCGCCGCTTTGTGCTGCCCGCGGGGCCCGCTCCCCGCCCGGGGCAGCGGGGGAGGGCGCCTCCGCCTAACGGGGCGGGCGTGCGGGCGGGCTCCCGGGCGGAGGCCTCTGAGGAGCAGTGACTGGGAAGCCCAGGGAGTTGGTTTTACTTTATTTTTGATCTTTCGAACATTTTTTACTTTTTTTTTTTAAAGTGGGTGTTTTGTGGACTTTCTCTTGGAGGAAGCGGAAGGGGGTGGTGGGGAGGGGATCCTGGAGGGGCCGCCTCCTGCGCGCCCCCTGCTGGCGGCGGTCGAGCGCGCCACCCCCGGGCCTGCGCCTGGAGCGGGGACTCGAACCGGCGACCCGCGGGTTCCCGGATGAACGCCGAACCGCTGAGCCACCCGGCGGGGCCGGGAGTGTGTGTGTATTTATTTATTTATTTATTTTTAAAAACTTAAAAAAAAAAATATATATATATATATATATATATATATATTTAGTCGAGGCCAGTGGATAGAGCGCCGATCTGCGGACTGCAGGGTTCCGGGTTCGATTCCCGTCAAGGGCATGTGCCTTGGTTCCGGGCACATCCCCAACGCGGGGGGGGGGTGTGTGTGCAGGAGGCAGCTGATCGATGACTCTCTCTCATCGGTGTTTCTAACTCGCTATGCCCCTCCCTTCCTCTCTGTAAAAAATCAATAAAATAATATATTTTTTAAAAAAATATATTTTATTGATTTTGTACAGAGAGGAAGGGAGAGAGATAGAGAGTTAGAAACATCAATGAGAGAGAGTCATCGATCAGCTGCCTCTTGCACACCCCCTACTGGGGATGTGCCCGCAACCAAGGTACATGCCCTTGACCGGAATCGAACCCGGGACCCTTCAGTTCCCAAGCCAACGCTCTATCCATTGAGCCAAACCGGTCTTGGCCAATAAGATATTTAAAAAATATATTTATTTGTTGACTTAATACATGAAGGGAGAGAGAGAAAAGCATCTATGATGAGAATCATGGATCGGCTGCCTCCTGCACGCCCCCTGCTGGCGGCGGAGCCCACTACCCGGGCATGTGCCCTGAGCTGGACTCGAACCCAGGCCCGTTGATGCCTGCATGAACGCTCAACCACACACACCTCCTGGGCCCAGGGAGTGTGTGTTTATTCATTGGCCTTTATTTATTTATTTATTTATTTTTATTTTGTAACTTAAAAAAAAAAACATTTTTAAAATTGATTTTAGAGGGAGAGGGAGCAAAACACCTATGATGAGAGGAAACTCATGGGTCTGCTGCCTCCTGCATGCCCCCTACTGAGAACCGAGCCCGCTCTCCAGGCATGTTCCCCTGGGCGGAATCGAACCCGGGACCTTTCGGTCTGCTGGCCGATGCTCTAGCCAGCGAACCACACTGGCCAGGAGTATTCATTGGCGTTCGATGGGCAGGGCTTTGGGCCGAGGGCGCAACCTGGCCGCCTCCCCCCTTCCCCCCCTGGGGGCAAGACAGCGCTTTGATTTCACAGTTAAGAAGGGGAGGCCTGGTCGTGGGCTAAAATGGCAGTAAAACGCTTTAAAATTCCCTTGTTATCGGTAACAACCGGTGTTGCTCAGTGGATAGAGCGTCGGCCTGCGGACTGAAGGGTCCCGGGTTCGATTCCGGTCAGGGGCATGTGCCTTGGTTGTGGGCACATCCCCAATAGGGGGTGTGCAAGAGGCAGCTGATCGATGTTTCTCATCGATGTTTCTAACTATCCCTCTCCCTTCCTCTCTGTAAAAAGTCAATAAAATATTTTAAAAAATAAAAATAAAATAAAATTTCCTTGTTGTTGGGCATGTAGGTGCTTGCTTACCATCGAGGTCCAGAGGAATTTGTTCCTAGCCGGGATTTTCAGAGTAGAGTGTGCTTTAGGATTGCTTATAGGATCCTATATCCCAAACCTAAGTGTGTTGTAAAACTGATACTGAAGAAGTTTTTAAGGGAAATTAAAAAATACATGTTTTTGTCCTGGCTGATATGGCTCAGTGGATAGAGCGTCCGCCTGCGGACTAAAAGGTCCCGGGTTGGATTCCTGCGGGGGGGGGGGGCAGATGCCCAGGGTGCAGGCTCGATCCCCAGTGTGGAGCGCGCAGGAGGCAGCCAATCAATGATTCTCATCATGATGTTTATCTCTCCCTCACCCTTCCTCTCTGAAACCAATAAATATATATTTAAAAAATACATGTATTTATTTTTTTAGGGAGGAGGAAAGGGAAAGGGATTGAGAAAGATGAATGAGGAGGAACACCCTGGAGCACCCACCTCCTGTGCGCCCTCTCCTGGCGATCTGCCCAGGACGCGGGCCTGTGCCCCGACCGAAAATCCAACTGGTGGCTCCTGGGTGGATGCTCAACCGCTGGGTTATACCTGCGTGGCGCGGGGTTAAGAGCCATTTAAAAAGAAAAAAAAATTTTTTTTTCTAAAGAAAAACCTTTTATTGACAGACAGGAAGGGAGAGGGATAGTTAGAAACATTGATGTGAGAGAGAATGATCGCTGGCTGCCTCTTGCGCGCTCCCTACTGGTGATGGGCCCGCAACCCGGGCATGTGCCCTTGACCGAAATCAAAACCGGGACCCCTAGCCGGACCGGTTTGGCTCAGTGGATAGAGCGTCGGCCTGCGGAGTGAAGGGTCCCGGGTTCGATTCCGGTCAAGGGCCTGTACCTTGGTTGCGGGCACATCCCCAGTGGGGGGTGTGCAAGAGGCATTTGATCGATGGTTCTCTCTCATCGATGTTTCTAACTCTCTATCCCTCTCTCTTCATCTCTGTGAAAAATCAATAAAATATATTTAAAACAAAACAAAAAAAACCGGGACCCTGCATCCCCTTGGCTGACGCTCTATCCACTGAGCCATACTGGCCAGTTGTTGGTTTTTTTCTTTTTTGTCTGTTTTTATGACTGGCTCCCGTCTGTGGGTTTATTTTTCTTGGTGTTTTAGAGCAGGGGTACTTCATCTGAGTCAGTGCATGTGATTCAGAAGATTCGAAAACTTGGACCAGGAAAATATTACCTAACTGAAATTCACTTTAGTATTTCAATTAGGAGTGTGGCACCTCCCATCCACCCCCCTTAACAACAACCCAGTAGTTTTAAGTAGTGTTAGAGGTATGTTTTCATATTCTTTGTATTAAAGCTGTTGGAGATATGTGCTCCTCATGACTTCAGAATGTTCTGTGTCAACTGAATCAATGCCATAGATAGCGTGCTGTTTTGCTAACATGTCAGTGTAGGTGGATTCCTCGGTAATACTGTGTGCATTATGTTTTTGTGAAACATTCTAGGGAAAGGCTTATGGGCTTCCTCAGACTGTCAGGGTGGTGACAAAATCCCTCCCACAGGAGGCATGGCCTTCAGGAGAAAGCGCTTAAATTCTAACCTACACTGAGTGGCCAGGTTATGATGGTCTCTGAGCCCATAATCTGGCCACTGTGTGTGTGTGTGTGTGTGTGTGTGTGTGTGTGTGGGTGTGTGTGTGTGTGTTAGAGGCCTGGTGCATGAACTCGTGCATGGGTGGGGTCCGGCCAGCTTGGCCAGGGGGAGGGGACATGGGCGGCTGGCCGGCCTGCCTGCTGGTCGGACTCCTGGTCGAGGGGACCATGTGCCTATGAGCCTTTTATTCTATAGGAGATGCACTGAGTGGCCAGATTACTATGCGTTCGGAGATCATCACTATCTTGCCACTCAGTGTAGTGGGATGTAGAATGAGGGGCGTGATGACAAAGGAGAATCCCTGTGCTGCTAGAATGGTGTTTTATTTTTTTTTAATTTTAAAAATATATTTTATTGATTTTGTACAGAGAGAAAGGGAGAGAGATAGGGAGCTAGAACCATCGAGAGAGAAACATCGACCACCTGCCTCTTGCACACCCCCTACTGGGGATGTGCCTGCAATGCAGGTACATGCCCTTAATCGGAATCAAACCTGGACCTTTCAGCCAAACCGGTTTCGGCAGGTGTTTTATTTCTTAAATCCTCACCCAAAGAGAGGATATTTTTTCCCTTTTTTTTGGGGGGGGGGGGGAGGGAGGAAGGAGAGAGAGAGACAGACAGACATCCATGTGAGAGAAACACTGGCTGCCTTCCGTAGCACCCCACCAGGGGCGGGGATGGAATCTGCAACCCAGGTATTGCCCTTGACCTGAACTCGAACCCAAGACACTCCCCGTGCAGGCCTGAGCCACCACAGCGAGGCTGCGTGGTGAGGTAGAGGAAAGTGGAACCAGGTACCTTTAAGCAGAGCTTTGGAAGCTCGAGTCTCTGTCCTCGCCATCACGTCCATGTTTTCTGCTCTTGGTCCAAGCTGAGTTGCATAAGTATAATAAGAAGTTACAGTTGTTTATGTGACAAGTTCAGAGAATACCTTGTAAGGACAAGGAGTATTCTAACGGTGTAATAAAGCACTGCCCAAGAACTGACCTTATGTAATGCTGCAAATACGAATGGCCAGAAATAGTATTTTTTGTAATTCTTTTATGGAAAGTATTTTTCTCACTTCATGGTGGGACAGCACGTGTTCTATGAGCAGTTGTTAAGCACAGTGTTTTGCACCGGATTGGCCTTCGTTTCCGGGGGGCCTTGCCTGGCCGGGACTCGGGATGTGGCTGATGCCGGATTCAGCAGTGTTTCCCAAACTTTTGACACGTGTGTACCCCTTCTATCATTTTCGTAACACTGAGGACCCCTGGTACTCATGAGGATGTAGAATGAGGCGCAGCTAAGCACGGGGCAGTGCATATCCCCACCAAACTCTTCCCGCGCCCCTGGGGGTACCGTGCCACACTTTGGGGAACACTGCCATAAAGGATACAAGCGGAGAAAGGGTTGAAGTCATACCCGGTACAGTGGTTGGCTCTGCCTCCAATCCCAGCTTCCCCTCCGCTGCCATGAGAGCGAGGCGTTTGTTCTCCTGCGTCCTATCCTGGTCCCGCTCCTCAGCCGGCTTCCCTTGATTTTCAACAAATGATTAGGGCCCCGCAGCCAGAATGGGGCCAGAGGGCTTTAGCTTCGGTGCAGCTGGCTTGGGCAGCAGTAGCTGAGAGGATATGGGGGTGGGTGAAGCCATTTTTAGGGTGCCTTTAGTCCCCCTGGAGAGAAACTGAGGCGCAGGTCAGGTCTTCGGTGCTGCTGCTGCTTGGCTCTGTACCTTACCTGTGCCTGGGCTCCTGGCCCACTGTGCCCAGCGACGGCTCTGCCCAGGTCTCTCAGCCCCAGGCGGGCACTTAGTGCCTGCTCCATGGCTCTGTAGCATCTTCTGAGGTGGACCTGAACCCCCTCCCTCCCTCCCTCCCTCCCTCCCTCCCTCCCTCCCTCCCCCTCCCTCCCTCCCTCCCTCCCTCCCATTCCGGTTCTCCTGCACTCGGCGCTCTGCTTCGCTGTCCTGACTTCTCTCGGGTGTTTGGTTCGGGCGCATTCAGTGGCCCCGGCCGCTGGAGACTCTGGCCTCTCCCTATCCTGTCTGCACTGGGAACTCTGAGGGGCCCCCAGCCCCAGGATGTGTCCTCAGGGGGGACCCCTCTCAGGAGTCCCGTGGCAAAGTTAATCGGTAAAGCCACTGAGTCTCCTTGGAGAGGGTCTGGTACGTTCTCTGGTGAGTCTCTGGTCACTCATTTCAAACACTGCCCCGGGAGATCTGGTCAGTTGGGAATCCTGTGCAGAATCAGGTCACGTTTCATCACGTGACATGTAGGCATCATGGTCTGTAACTTGCATGTCTACCTTTACATGTTTACCGGTGCACATTGCTCCTGTGAAAGAGGAGTGTCACCTTGCAGGTGTCCCTCCGCTTGGGCCTTCGCCTTAACCTGGGCAGCAGCGCCTCAGTCCCCCTCACTGTTGATGAAGATCGTTAACACGAACCTGGGCTTGTGTAAAACCATCCGCTTACCTGTCCCGACTCCCCCAGCCTGACAGCCTAACAGGCAGGTGCGGGGGGGCCCCGGGTGAAGGTGTGGGAAAGGAACAGCCAGGTTTGCTGTGGTATTTCAGGTTGAAGGTTTTGAAGACTTGGAAAAGCAGCAGCCATGTGTTTATAAGGGAGACTGCTCTAGCCTCTTCAGAACTGAGCGGATGGGCTATTTCAATGATTTCAGACCTAAAGGAGCTGAGTGTGCGGGACTTGCCTCCAGGGGTCTGTTTAAACCACAATAACACGTGATGAGACTGCCGGGAGCCGCCTGCCTGCGGGCCTGGCCTCCAGGCCCTTCCGTGTTACTCGGTCCTGCAAGTCTTAACTGCAAGTCTTAACGGCAGGTTCACGGCGTGTGACTCCAGGAAGCTGGGACGCTTTTGTGTGTTCTGGGTTCATTGAAGCAGCCCCGTGCCCAGAACACGGATGATGAGCGCACTGAAGTCACGAACACGAGCCTCTAAAGAGACAAACCCCCCGCCACTTCTGATACACAGGGCATTTCATTTTAATGTGGATTGTTTTACTGCTTTTAATTATAATACAAAGTCTGGGGGCGGAGCTATAGTGAGAGCATGTGGTTCTACACCTGGATACATACCTGTTGGCGGTTGAGAACAGCCACCTCCAGCAGGAAGCGCAGGCTGTGTGTGCCTGCAGGTGAGAGGCGGCGGGTGGTTTAACCAGATGGCACTCTGACACGTGTGCTTGTTGTTACAGCAGACACGGAGGTGTGTGGTCGTAGGGCACTCAGGGTTAGTATTGCAGGTAAACTACGAAATACGCAAGTTTGGTCTGCAGCGGGGATCCCACACAGCGGCTCCCACTTCCCTTGGTGAGAGTCCTCTGCGGGAGGAGGTGTGACCCTAACCCCTGCTCTTCCCTTCCAGGTGAGCGAGTGCTGTGCTTCCACGGGCCTCTTCTCTATGAAGCCAAGGTAGGAAGCCCGCTCCCCGCAGGAAGATCGGGGACGGTGAGGGCTCAGGGCCTTTTCCACGGGCGGGCGGAGTCCGCCCTCCTGGGGCGGGTGTCCTGCTTCCTGGGGGGCCGCCCCTTCTCCCAGGAGTCCGAAGGAGCATGTGAGCAGAGAAGACTGGTTATTGATGGGAGGAGCAAGAGTATCTGTAATTTAAGACTTGTGAGAAAACACAACCAAGATCAATTCTATTTTTATTTTTTTTTAATATATCATTGATTTTTTACAGAGAGAAAGGGAGTTAGAAACATCAGTGGGAGAGAAACATCCATCAGCTGCCTCCTGCATGTCACCCACTGGGGATGTGCCTGCAACCAAGGTACATGCCCTTGACCAGAATCGAACCCGGACCCTTTAGTCCACAGGCTGACGCTCTCTCTACTCAGCCACACCGGTTAAGGCTCAATTTTCTTTTTAAATCCTCACCTGAGGATATTTTTCCGTTGATTTTTTTAAGAAAGAGTGGAGCCAGGACCGGTTTGGCTCAGTGGATAGAGCTTGGTTTCGGGCACATCCTCAGTAGGGGGTGTGCAAGAGGCAGCTGATCGATGAGTCTCTCTCATCGATGTTTCTCTATCTCTCTCTCTTCCTCTCTGTGAAAAATCAATAAAATATATATATTTTTAAAAGTGAAAAGGAGGGGGAGAGAGGAAAACATCTACGTGAGAGAGACATACTAGTTGGTTGCCTCCCACATGAACTTGACAAGAACTGAACCTCGGGCCCTTCCGTCTGCGAGCAGATGGTCTTTCCACTGAGCAAGACGGTCTAGGGTTCAAGGTCAGTTTTATTTTTATTAATATATTTTTCCCCCAAGGTCAATTTTATATGCGATATGCTAAGTATGCACTGAGCTAATTAAATGCACTGAGCTGACATTAGAAATGAGTATCTTTAACTTTTATTTGTTGTTTTTATGGCAAAGTTTGAATCCTCAGGGGGCTCTCTGATAAAAAAACGATTTTACAATTAGGCAAAGGTGAATGGGATAATGCATTTAAGTCAAAACCATTTCTAGTACTTTTCGTTAACTTCTTTAGGACAAATAGTAGGATGTGACTCTTTTTAACAATTGTGTGTTTTGTTTTGTTTTTTAAGAAAATGAGTCACAGTATACAAAACAGCAAGCTATATATGTTTAATACTTTCATTGATTATTTTTGAGAAAGAGGAAAGGAGAAGGGATAGAAGCATCCATCTGCTGCTGCCTCCTGCACGCCCCCTGCTGGGGATGGAGCTCACAGCCACACCGGTCATGGCATGGGACAGTTCACATTTCTGATTCCTCTTTGTAAAGAGTTTTAAATTAGAAACCAGGCCTGCTGGGGAGCTCAGTGGTCGAGTGTCAGTCTGTGAAGCGGGAGGTCATGGTCTGATTCCTGGTCCGGGCACACACCTGCGTTGTGGGCTCAACCCCTGGGGAAAGGCACGCAAAAGGCAGCTGATCCATGGTTCTCTTATCACTGATGTTTCTCTCTCCTCCCTTCTCTCTGAAATCGATACAAAAAATAAACAATCTAAAACCAGATAGTTACCACTTGTCATAGTAAACAACCTCCTGTGGCCATTCTAATTTGTTCTGCACCCAAATATTAAAAAAAAAAATTAATGTATTTTTATTGATTTCAGAGAGGAAGGGAGAGGGAGCTAGAAACATCAGTGATGAAAGAGAATCTTGGATCGGCTGCCTCCTGCACGCCCCACACTGGGGGTCAAGCCCACAACCTGGGCATGTGCCCTTGGTTGGAATCGAAGCTGGGACGGACCTTTCAGCCTGCAGGCCCAGCGCTCTATCCATTGAGCCACACCAGCCAGGGCCTAAATATTTTATAGCCTTTCCATAAGCTAGGGAAACTTATTGAAATTACAGTTTCTGGCTATTTAGACTTTGAGAAAGTGGAGACTACCACTCACAAGCTGTTTTGGGGGAGCTTGTCCAGCCCTTGCCTTCAGGATAGGGGCCCCCTCATGCTTATGGCTCTTTGCTTGGCTAGACTGACTCCAGCAACTGGTGACGTTTCGGCAATTTTAGAATTCTTACTGCTTACAAAGTTTCCATCATGCTCTTGTGGAGGGTTAAATTGTGGGGGTTCATTTTGGCCACCTAAGGGTTTAAGTGTAGAAAGAATCTTGGAAAGATTGGATACTTTAAAATCATCTCTTCAATATCTCTGAGTGGCATTTTTTCTTTTTTATTTCAGTGTGTGAAGGTTGCCATAAAGGACAAACAAGTGAAATACTTTATACATTACAGCGGTTGGAATAAAAAGTGAGTATTAGGTCTTTAAAAACAATCTTCTTATAATTTTTAAAGTAATGTGTATCATAGACTGGCACAAACATGCTTCTTAATTGTACAGTTTTAACATGACATAGTTTACAACAAGGATGAGCCATTTGAGTAGGATGGAAATAGAATAAAAATTAGGGTGCAGGCATTTTATTTTATTAATATATTTTATTGATTTTTTACAGAGAGGAAGGGAGAGAAATAGAGAGAAACATGGATGAGAAATGTCCATCAGCTGCCTCCTGCACAACCCCCTACTGGGGATGTGCCCTTGACCGGAAGCTACCTGGGACCCTTCAGTCCACAGGCCGACGTTCTATCCACTGAGCCACACCAGTTAGAGCCAGCCATTTTATTTTAAATTTTTGGAGTAGAAATTCTTGTGTTTTAGTATAATGTCTCTGACCATCATTGGTCAACCAGCTAACCTTTTTTGGGTTTCGGTACACTTTATTTTACATTTATTTAATTTCTCCCAATCACCTTTTACCCACTCTGCCCTCTCCCCCCTCTGACCCCCTGCGATCACCACACTGCTGTCCATGCTCTCTCTTTTTTTCTTTTTTGCTCAATCCCGCCACCGTACAACCCTCCCCTCTCCCACCTCTCCTCCCGTTTTGGAATATTTTAGGATAGTTTGAGATATATGTATTTATTTTTATTTTTTTGCCCTTAGCACAAACTCAGTCACTATGTATGTTATGTCGAGCAGTTATAGTCAATTCAGTTAAAGTGAGCTGGATTTCTCTATTAGAAAAGGGAAAGGGATAGTGATTGACCTCCAAGTAATGATGAACTTAGGTTGACAGGTGTGATTTCATGTATTTCAGAGTTACCACATGGCTCACTACAGACACAGGCATTTCATTACAGAACTTAACTCTCCACCTTGGCAAGTTAGTGTTGTTTTTAAGTAGAAGATTTTTATTGATTTCAGAGAGGAAGGGAGAGGGGGAGAGAGATGGAGAGAATCATGGGCTGCCTCTTGCAGGCCCCACTTGGGGGATCGAGCCCACAGCCTGGGCATGTGCCCTTAGCTGGCATCAAACCCGGGACCCTTCAGTCCGCAGGCTGACACTCTATCCACTGAGCCACACCGGCCAGGGTGAGAGCGTCTTTTTAAGGGGGGTGTGTTGGTCTGTGCTGGGAGTGGACAGTGGGTAGATTGAGCACCTAGCACTCCAGCTGGTGTCCCTCTCAGCAACAGCCCGTGCACCCACAAATACCACGTCTGATGACTGACCGTTGGGGTGCTTGTGGTTTTTATCGTGGGAGGTTTTCAGTTATTGTTATTAGCAATGGTGGTTTATCCGCAAAGGCGGGGCTTTGTGTGCCCGAGTGTGTGGTCCCCGCTCTCCCCGTGGCCCTGCCCCCTGATTAGTTGGCGCTCTTGCTGGGGAGGGAGACCCGCTCTGAGGATGCCCGGCTGTGGTCCTGTTCCCACAGTTCCCTCCCAGGGGACCACCCCGGAGTCAGATCGTGAGGAACGTTTTCCACAAATACTTTTTGCTAAAAGAGAATACACAGCAAAACAAAAAACAGACCCGAGCCTTTCTCCACTGGTGTAGCCATAGAAAGGTGGGATCCGAGGCCGTCCTGACACCTGAGGCAGTCCCAGTTAACGGTCACGGAGAGACTCCTGCTAACGCAGGCAGGGGCGCAAACTGGGGGCCTTCCGCTGGAGCGTAGCCTCTGAGCTTCACTCTTTCGTAACACCATGTTTCCCCGAAAATAAGACCTAGCGCAACTTTGGGAGAAAAAATTAATATAAGACACTGTCTTATTTTCGGGGAAACGGTAGGTGTTTCCATAAGACTGTGTGTGGGTGTGTACAGCTTAGAGAACGGGTTGTAAGTGGTGTTTCTAGTTTAAGAAACTGGGAAAGTACTAAATTCCTACAGTTTTTCATTTCACTGCTTCAAAATACATTAAGAACACTTTTTCCTTTGTAATGTTAACAGTCCAGTTTTGAGCTAATTTTACATCAAATATTAAGTGGTTCTCTGAAATTGAAGAAAAACGGCGATAAACATTAGAGCTTTATCAATAGCTTTGTGCATATACCGAGGAACCGTCACATACCGAGGTGTGCTTTGTGGTATTTGGTATGTAGGTAAATAGGTGTGAGTTTGAAAACGCTCATCCTTAGTATTTGGGGAGCCTTAAGGAAGCCCGTCCGAGGGGGGTACTCAGTGCCAGTTTGAGTATTTGCCTGGGAGCCATGGCCTCCATAAGCCGCCGTCCGTTTCTCTGAGCCAAGCACGCCCTTCCTTTCTCCGGGGTCAGTGAGGGCCTCAGCTCCTGGCAGACAGAGAGACGCCGAGTGACTGTGTTCTTTAGGTCAAAGTGCTTTTTTAGTTAAATTTTTTAAATTAAAGAAACTGGTTAACTTTAGGGAGGAGAGAGAGAAACACTCATGTGGGCTTCCCCTTATTTTTAAAAATATATTTTACTGATTTTTTTACAGAAAGGAAGGGAGAGGGATAGAGAGTGAGAAACATCGATGAGAGAGAGTTATCCATCAGCTGCCTCCTGCGCGCCTCCCACTGGGGATGTGCCCACAACTGGGGTACAAGCCCTTGACCGGAATCGAACCTGGGACCCTTCAGTCTGCAGGCCGACGCTCTGTCCACTGAGCCACACCGGCTTCGGCTGCTTCCTCTCAGTGATGCACTGGTTGACTCTGGCATGTGCCCCGACGGGGATCCGGCCGTCCCTTGGGGAGCCAGGGAGGCACTCATTGTCACAGGGGGAGGGGTTTGCAGGGTTCTGAGTGAGCTGTGGGGTGAGTAAAAGTGGGCCAGTTCCCTTGAATGGAGAGCTAATTAGAGCAGCTGTAAGTAGATGTAAATCAAACCCTCATTTCCCAAATGGTTTGTGGGTATCTTCCGTTTAGAAAATCATGCAGCCAAAGCTCAGTCCAAATTGGGATCTCCTGAAACCGCAGTCAGTGGATAGGTGGCTCAGAGCACGCCAGGTGAGACCTCTGAGTCCCAAGCCTCCCCGGGACTGGTGGACCCACAGTTAGGTTGTGCCTGAATCTGTAGCGTCGGCTCGTTGTGCGCTGGTTACTGAGACTCTGTGCTGTGCTTCTGCATCAGAGGTGCCGGGCGGCCCAGGCGCTCTGAACACGCGTGGAAGACACGTGAGGATATTGTAGCCCCTTTTCCTGTTGCTGAAGGAGCTCCCTCAGTACACCACCCCCTCCTGACCTCTAGGTAAATGCATGTTTTCACCTTCTTCCGGCATCGCGGAGGGTGGTTGCAGTCCTGGTCCTCTGGCGTCCTCCCCGAGGCCAGGGGCAGCCATTGGCTGACCGAGGACACGCCCGGTGTCAGAGGGAGCTCCCTCAGAGGAGGAAAGAGGCCCTGTCCCGGCCAGCGAGCCCCTAGGGGGCGCTGCTCCCTGCCCCGCGGACAGCACTCGGCAGGCGGCGTGGCCTGTGGTTGAGCGGCAGCTGGGAGTCGGGAGGTCGCCCTCCTGTTCCTGGTTGGGCCAGGCATCAAGACTTGTTTTTTAAACCATTATTACCTGAGGATTCGGTTTTCATAGATTTGAGAGCAAGGAGGGGTGGGGGAGGGAGAGACGGACAGAGAGACAGACATCTATTTGTGGCCTCACACACACACCCAGACCAGGGATCAACCCAGGACCCTTTGGTGCGTGGAGCAGTGCTCTAACCACTGAGCCCACCAGCCAGGGCAGAAACCCTATTTTGAAGGGGAGTTTAAAAAAAAATTATTGATTTTTTTTTTAAAGAGGAAGGTGAGAGGGATAGAGAGAGAGAAACATTGATCAGCTGCCTCCTACACACCACCCACTGGGAATGTGCCTGCAACCAAGATACACGCCCTTGACCGGAATCGAACCTGGGACCCTTGAGTCTGCAGGCCGACGCTCTATCCACTGAGCCACATGGGTCAGGGCAAGGAGCTTTTTTCTAGCCGCCCAGCACGCCTTAGCAGCCAGCTGTTTCACGGAGTGGGCGGGGCTCCGTGTAGATGTGAGGAAGCCAGTCCGTTCCTTTGTGAGTGAAGGTTCAGAGGGTGTGGTATGATAAGCCATTGTATGTGTGCTTTCATTCCCAGCGTCAGCCGGGTCCATATAGTGGTCATGAGTATTGTATGTCTCCTAGTATGTTGCTCACATACCTCGAGTGTTTATGTTTTTATGTGTTAAACTCTCACGTGTTTTACCTGCTGTGACATGGGTACTGTTATCCTCATTTTAAGGTGATGGGACGAAGGCACAGAATTCTGTAACTGCTATTACAGCTAGGAGCCACTTGGTTTTCTTTAAAAAAAAAAAGCTGCTTTTTATTTTTAACTACAATTCTTTAAGGTATCTTCATTCTGTGAGATAACTGTTAGGGACACGCCACCTGGTTCCTGAGGTTGCTCTGTGCTGGGCTTCCTAATCCGAGTGCCGTGGGGCCCAGGCACACTCAACATGCTGTGACATGCCAGGCTCTGCTACATGCCAGGCTCTTGGTACATGCCAGACGCGTATGCTGTTTTGAGAAACGATTGAATAATTTGCTTTGCACTCTGGCAGTCCGAGGGGGAATGTTGCTTTTGAGATGGGGAAGTTCCTTCCCTCACAGAAGGGTGACTTCCGCTTGAGTCCTCATTCATGCCAAGTCTGGCCTCCCTCGGGGATTTCTAAAGAGTAACTGGACAGTCTGCGTGGGGGGACGCGGCTTGAATGACGCTGCTTTTCTCTCTGCAGCTGGGATGAGTGGGTCCCCGAGAGCAGGGTGCTCAAATACGTGGACACCAACCTGCAGAAGCAGCGGGAACTGCAGAAGGCCAATCAGTAAGTGTGGTGGCCCCTGAGGACATGGGGATAGGGCTTTGGGTGCATGTTTGGGGTGCAGGGAACAGTGGGCATCATGCCGGCACTTGGCTTCCCGGTGACTCCTGGCGCTTGCCAGCTGCCGAGGGATGACTGAGGCCTCAGCTGCTCCTGGGGGAGTGGGCAGCACAGCTGCGAGTTCCCGAACCAGTCCCTGGAGGAGGCGGGAACGCGGGTGTCGCTGGAAATTCCCGGAGTCGGCAAACACTGTCATCTCCCTTGTCGGCTCAGGAAGGCGCGGCTGTGTGGGAGGCGATTAAGCATTGGGGGCGCCCCGTTGTTAACCTGCAGCTGTAGAACACCCTGAGAAAAGGAACCCAAAGCCTGGGCGGTCTTGTTTTCATTTCAAAGCTGAAATGTAAGTCCAAATTGAAAATAAAGAGATCCAATAAAACATTGGGATTGGTGAATTGCAAAACAAACGGAATTTTCGATCATGAGAGCAATCTATACTAATCAAAGAGTAAGATGCAAATTGTACCTTCGTGATGCCCACCAGCCAATCAGGAGTGAGTATGCAAAATAACCAGGCAAAGATGGCAGGTTAATTTGCATACAGGCATCGCGCAGCCCAGGGCAGCTGTGCCCCACTGCCCAGCCACTCCGGGCCACTGGACAGCATGGGGAGGCACAAAGGCGGCTCTGGCCGGAGCGAAGGCAGTGCCAGCAGCCAGGGCAAGGCAGGCCCGTTCTCGCATGAATCTTCATCGGGCCTCTCGTCTATTATAATCACCTTCTACGTTTACTTATAATTTTGCGAGGCACAGAGAGCAAATTCTTAGGTCTCAAGTTATTTTTCTCCCTAAGGACTCATTTCACGACGACGTCATTGCGCTTGCTTTGCAGGGAACAGTATGCAGAGGGCAAGATGAGAGGGGCGGCCCCCGGGAAGAAGGCGGCGGGACTGCAGCAGAAGAGCGTCGAAGTGTAAGCCAGGCTCCCCGTGGCCCTGTGCCCACGGCCCGGCGGCGCCCTTACCCGGCGCTAGGGCTTATGGGTAATAGAAGCTGCAAGAGGGTCACTTTCTTCTTTCTCTCTTTTTTAATTCTCACCTGAGAATATTCTTTTCTGTGGACTTTTATTTTTATTTTTTTTAATTTTTATTTATTTATTTATTTAATAATTTTTTAAAAAATATATATTTTATTGATTTTTTACAGAGAGGAAGGGAGAGAGATAGAGAGCTAGAAACGTCGATGAGAGAGAAACATCGACCAGCTGCCTCTTGCACGCCCCCTACCGGGGATGTGCCCGCAACCAATGTACATGCCCCTTATGGAATCGAACCCGGGACCTTTCAGTCCGCAGACCGACGCTCTACCACTGAGCCAAACCGGTCGGCTTCTGTGGACTTTTAGAAAGAGCAGAAGGGGAGGAGGCAGAGTATGGAAGGGGAGGAGGAGGGGAATTTAACCACTTACCAGTAAGAATCCTGTGTCTGAGCAGGAAACTCCGGGCCTGCTTTTATCATTCAGGCCGCGTTTCCCTGGGAACTCACCCCTGATAAAAGGAGTTGGAGCAGAGGCAGTTTTACTAGCAATAATTATATGTCCTCCTCCCTTCTCTTTTCAGGAAAACAAAGAAGAACAAACAGAAAAGTAAGCATATTTTGTTAAACTTATTTTATTTTATTTTTTTACTTTTATAATATTGAATTTTATTTTATTATTATTATTTTTTAATATTTTATTGATTTTGTACAGAGAGGGAGAGAGTTAGAAACATCGGTGAGAGAGAGTTATCAATCAGCTGCCTCTTGCACGCCCCCTACTAGGGATGTGCCCGCAACCAAGGTACATGCCCTTGACCGGAATCGAACCCGGGACCCTTCAGTCCCCAAGCTGATTATCCATGGAGTCAAACCGGTCTCGGTTATAATATTGAATTTTAAATTGGTTGAAAGTTAAATTAGGTTTTTAAAAAGTCATTTACTTATCACTTTTAAAATGTTTTATTGATTTATAATAGAAAGGGAGCCGGGACCGGTTTGACTCTCTTATCTCTCTCCCTTCCTCTCTGTACAAAATCAATAAAATAAAATAAAATAAAAAATCAATAAAATATACATTTAAAAAAAATAATAGAAAGGGAGAGGGATAGAGTCAGAAATATCGATGAGAGAGAGTCATCGATCAGCTGCCTCCTGCACACCCCCTACTGGGGATGTGCCTGCAACCAAGGTACATGCCCTTGATCGGAATAGAACCCGGGACCCTTCAGTCCACCTGCCGAGGCTCTATCCACTGAGCCAACCTGTTAGCCATTTACTTATTATTTTAATGTTTTACTGATTTCAGAAAAGGAGAGGGAGGGTCAGATGGAAACATCGGTGGTGAGAGAATCATTGACCGGCTGCCTCCTGTAGGCCTGCTGCTGGGGAATCAAGGCCCAACCCCGCGGGCCATGTGCCGTGACCATGTCTGGAGTCACAGTTGTGACCTCCCGGGTCAAAGGTCGATGCTCAGCCGCTGGCGGCAGCTTTCCTTGGAGTAAGCTCCTGTTTACTGATGGCCTCAGAGGGCTCAGATGAGGCTCAGAGCAGCTCTGTGGACCTGACCCTCGTTTTCCAGGGAAAGCCTGAGCAGTTACTTCCATCGTCTTCATTCTCAGGGACTCCCTGAAGATAGCTGTACAGGGCAGTGTGATAGATGTTCATGCAGCTTACATTTGTGGTGGGAAGGTGATTCTTTTTTTAGAGGAAGGGAGAGGGAGGAGAGATTGAAACATCAATGAAGAGAATCATGGATTGGCTGCCTCTTGCATGCCCTCCCTCCCCCCATTTGGAATTGAGCCCGCAACCCAGGCATATGCCCTTGACCAGAATTGAACCCGGGATCCTTGAGTCTGCAGGTTGATGCTCTATCCACTGAGCCACACCAGCTACAGTAGAATGTGATTCTTTAACGTAGATTCAAGTAACACTCGTGTCAGGGAAAAATGAAAAGGTGTGTTATGAGAGCTTTTTCTTAGGAAATTGTCATTTAATCATTGAAAAACCTCCCTCGTCCTCCCACGTTTCAGCCCCTGGGAATGGAGACGGTGGCAGCACCAGCGAGACCCCTCAGCCTCCTCGCAAGAAGAGGGCGCGAGTGGATCCGACTGTGGAAAACGTGAGTGTCCTTCGCCTTAGCAGCACCAGTCCACGTGCGGGGCTCGGCGCCTGTGGCGGCACAGGGAGCGTCAGGACTCGTCCCCGAGCCCTGACAGCCGGGCTCACTGCCATGGAGACACCCCTCCTGCAGTGCAGAGGGCGTGTGCGTGCGTGCGTGCGTGCGTGCGTGTGTGTGTGTGTGTGTGTGTGTAATTCTAGGTGTGTCTTTGTTAGATACCCTCCCGCCCCCAGCTCATCTGATGTTGGTGAGTGTTAGGTTTCCGCACACGATTTTTTTTTTTTTAAAATATATTTTATTGATTTTTTTACAGAGAGGAAGAGAGAGGGATAGAGAGTCAGAAACATCGATGAGCGAGAATCATCAATCAGCTGCCTCTTGCACACCCCCCAATGGGGATGTGCCTGCAGCCAAGGTACATGCCCTTGACCGGAATCGAACCCGGGACCCTTCAGTCCCCAAGCCGATGCTCTATCCTTTGAGCCAGACCGGTCCCGGCCATAGCTGACCTTTCTGACGCTGAGGTCACGTGGCAGTGGTGGTCTTACGCACGGCGTGTTCTGGAAGCGAGGCCCCGTGAGGAGCCATTGATGCCTCCCGGTGGTCAGTCCTCTCCGTTGTGTGTGTACCTCTGAGTGAGAGTGTGGGGGCTGCACGTGGAATATCCACAAATAGGGAAACTTTCCATCAGCACAGCCGTGAGCACAGAGCGGTCACTTCCCGAGAGGCGCACGCCCAGGGCCTCTCGGTCAGACACTCGGCTCACAGCGCCGCCTTCCCCGCAGGAGGAGACGTTCATGAACAGAGTGGAAGTCAAAGTGAAGATTCCCGAGGAGCTGAAGCCGTGGCTGGTGGACGACTGGGACCTCATCACCCGCCAGAAGCAGGTGCGGCCGCGCCTCCGGTCAGGATGGGCGCGGGCTCTTCCGGCGGCGAACAGGCCGCTTCCGGAGGAGGAGGCGTGTGGACTGCACGGCGGGAGGATCCCCGTGCATGCTGTAACTGAGAGCGTGTTTGAAGATTATAGTCCGTACATAAGAGTTTGTTTTTATTTATTTATTATTATTATTTTTAAATATATTTTATTGGTTGACCACAGAGAGGAAGGGAGAGGGATAGAGAGTTAGAAACATCTATGAGAGAGAAACACACATCAGCTGCCTCCTGCACACCCCCTACCGGGGATGTGCCCACAACCAACGAACATGTCCTTGTCTGGAATCGAACCCGGGACCTTTCAGTCTGCAGGCTGACGCTCTATCCATTGAGCCACACCGGTTTCGGCAAGAGTTTAGTCACAGTGATAGAAAACGATGGAGATGATTCTTTTTCGGAAGCCCCTAGAGCAGGCTTACCCTGAAAATGGCTATAAAGACACAAAAGTGTGTCCTGTTGAACATGGGACGTCCTTACGTGTGTCCCTGCTGATGGGATGGCATAGGAAGCGCACAGTGCCAGCTGCCGGGCATGCATGGTCCCCAACAGGACCAGAACCTGGGCCCCTTGTGAGGAGGTGCCTGTGTGACCCCCAGCTGCTCCACAGGGAGAGGCTAGGCCAGAGCAGCCAGCATCCTGTGACGAGCAATGTGGGGCCGGGTGGGGCGGGGAGACTCCTGGGTGCTGGCGGCCTGAGGCCCGGGTCACGGACAGCATGTGGGCTCCGTTTTATTCGTGGCGAGAGTCTGGCCACACCGCCAGGATGGAAGCCATGGCTCCACCATGTACCCTCTAGGTGGCCCAGATTGCTCAAGCATCTTCCTTTCCACATTTCGGGGAGTCATGGTGCCGCCGCAGAGCTGGTGACTGAGGAGGAGAGAGAAGGGGGCGTAGGATGCTCACAGGAAGCGATGCCCCACATGCAGGGCAGCTACATGTGTCCAATGACAGCCACTGGCCACGTTTGGCTGTTTAGTTGTAAGTTAGTGAAACCAGTTTCCTTTGCCACATGAGCTTTTTTTTTAATATGTTTTTTTTTACAGAGAGGAATGGAGAGGGATAGAGAGTTAAAAATTGATGAGAGAGAACGATCAGCTGCCTCTTGCACACCCCCTACCGGGGATGTGCCTGCAATCAAGGCACATGCCCTTGACCGGAATCGAACCCTGGACCTTTCGGTCTGCAAGCCGACGCTTTATCCACTGAGCCAAACTGGTTTTGGCATGAGCCATGTTTTAAGTGATGGACAGTGCTTTTACCTATTTTGTAGTAAACATTATTGAGTGATCTTTTTAAAATCATTTTTATTGACTTCAGAGAGGGAGGGAGAAACATCAGTGATGAGAGAATCATTGATCAGCTGCCTCCTGCACACCCCCTACTGGGGACCAAGCCTGCAATCCAGGCATGAGCCCTTGACTGTTAATCGAACCTGCGACCCTTCAGTCCACAGCCCGACACTGTCCACTGAGCCAAACCGGCTAGCTCTTGAGTGATAATATTTTTTATTATTAAAGATTTGCCAGTATAATTTTTCTGTAAAACAGATAAAGCTTGTACAGTAGGTCCTTGGGTTATGTCAGAGATCCGATCCTACTGCGCGACATAACACGATTTTTCCCGTGAGTCAGAACCCACCCACATAAGCGCCTGCGTCACTCACATGAGCACAGGCACAGCAGTGATGAAGTGAAACTGTAAAAAAGTTTAAAATAAAGTAATTTCTGACCTTGTGGTAAATAAATAATAACACAAAGCACATATGTACATACGTTGGAGCGACGGAACTTTTTTTATGAATAGGAGATAGCGATGTCACCTCAAACCGATGTATGTCAAGTCCAACATAACCCGGGGACTGCCGGTATTTACCTGCATTTCTTGTTTTCCAGCTCTTTTATCTTCCCGCCAAGAAGAATGTGGATTCCATCCTGGAGGATTACGCAAATTACAAGAAGTCTCGCGGGAACACGGATAACAAGTAGGCGGATACTCCTGTCTGAACTAGATCCAGAGAGACTTCTTTCCTGTTTTCAAGCAGTCTTACTCCAAACAGATGTACACTTCAAAAATGCCACCAAACACGAGCAAAATGGGCTTTTACTGGCTGGACAGAGGGTCTGGCTTGCAAGCTTTTTGGTACAGAGCAGATAGTAAAATTTTAGGTAAAAAGTATAAAAAACCATTTTTAGCCTGATGGCTTTATTTGTGGAGTTATTTAAAATATATATATATATATATATATATATATATATATATATATATATATATATATATTATTGATTTATTACAGAGAGAAAGAGGGATAGAGAGTTAGAAACATCGATGAGAGAGAATCATCCATCAGCCTGCCTTTTGCAAACCCCCCACTGGGGATGTGCCCGCAACCAAGGTACATGCCCTTGACTGGAATCGAATCTGGGACCTTGCAGTCTGCAGGCCGACGCTCTATCCACTGAGCCACACCGGATAGGGTGGTTTTTGGGGCTCTTGCTAGATCCCTTTTTAAAACGGTTTAGTAAAGATTTCATCTTATTGATCTATCTATATTTTTTTACCCTAACCCTCATCTTGTTACGTAACCTTTTACTTAATCCCCGGCAGGCATGTTGATTGAATTAGTGGCTGTTGGGTGTGAGCTGTTTGTGCTCCTGTGCAGGGAGTACGCGGTGAACGAGGTGGTGGCCGGCATCAAGGAGTACTTCAACGTCATGCTGGGCACGCAGCTGCTCTACAAGTTCGAGCGGCCGCAGTACGCCGAGATCCTGGCGGACCACCCCGACGCGCCCATGTCCCACGTGTACGGCGCGCCGCACCTGCTGCGGCTGTTCGGTAATGCAGTGCCACTTCCCCCGAGCCTTTCATTAAAAAAAAGGCTTTTAGAGAGGGATAGAAACATCCTTAATCAGCTGCCTCCTACACACCCCTTCCCGATGGAGCCCACAGCCAGGCGTGTGGCCTGACGGGATCGAACCGAGACCGTTAACACCCTCCACTGGGCCACACCAGCTGGTCCTTCTCTCTTCTCTCCTCTCCTCTCCTCTCTCAGTGGTATCAGCAGTGACACCACATAGCGTTCTAAAACACTGCCTTCCCTTTGACCTTGAGCCTGATGTTGTTATCTAAGTTTGTCCCGTCTCTATAAAGTTATGTCTCTGAAAGGAGTCGATGACGGGTGTGTTTGCCCCCATGAATGACATATGCGCCTCGTGCTCCTGGGTGTGACTGACGAGTTGTTTTGTCTGACAGTCCGCATCGGCGCCATGCTGGCCTACACGCCGCTGGACGAGAAGAGCCTGGCCCTGTTACTGAATTACCTGCACGACTTCCTCAAGTGAGTCCCGGCATGTGGCCAGGGGACGGCTCTCGGTGTCGCACCGTGCAGTGAGGACAGTGCAGCGGGTGCAGGGGTGGGTGTGGGGGGCCTCTCACAGGGCGCAGGTGGCCGCGCCGGGGAGGGCTGGCAGCGGCTGGCGGTCTAGAGGAGAGAGATCCGCGCTGTCACGTGTGAAAATTGGCGAATCAAACACTTGAACTATTAGGGCAGCGAGGGGAGAACGCTGCGCAGTATTTAATGATTTTTATGGTGAGAGTGGCCTTTACAGAACAATAGGGAAAAACGGTTGATAAATTTGACTACACACACTTAGAATTCTACGTGAGGAGACTGTTATGAAAGGTGGTGGGTGTGGGATGCTGGGACCTGAATATACAAAGGGGAGTGTGCAGTGAGGAGACGAGGACACCTGGGAATCCAGGCGGGGAGGTGACGAGGATGGTCAGAAGAGGACAGTTAAGCCATCCTTGCCAGAGGAGCTCAGTAAGAAGATGAGGACCCGGGGAGGGCTGGTCCATTGGACTGGCTTGGGGCGTTCGGCGGTGCATGTTCCATTTCCACACGTGCGTCCCCTCTGAGTGGGAAGTCATGCTTTTGGAAGCTTATCCTATAGAAATACTGGGAAGCACCATGACTTCCAAGCAGGTTGTAATGGAGAGCGCGCTGGGTCTCCCCTCATTTGTAGAGAAACATTTTCAATCCTTTTTTTTTTTTTTTTTTTTTACTAGATTTTTATTGGTTTCAGACAGGAAGGTAGAGGGGGAGAGAGAGAAACATCCATGATAAGAATAATGGATCGGCTGCTGCCTGCATGCCCCCCCACTGCAGACTGAGGCCGAAAGCCAGGCATGTGCCCTTTATGGGGATTGAACCGCGACCTTTCAGTCCGCAGGCTGATGCTCTATACATTGAACTAAACAGGGTAGGGTGACATTTTCAATCTTTTTAAAAAAATATATATTTTATTGATTTTTTTACAGAGAGGAAGAGGGATAGAGAGAAACATCGATGAGAGAGAATCATCCATCAGCTGCCTCTTGCACACCTCCTACTGGGGATGTACCCACAACCAAGGTCCATGCCCTTGACCAGAATCGAACCTGGGACCTTTCAATCCGCAGGCCGACGCTCTATCCACTGAGCCGGTTTCGGCGACATTTTCAATCTTGACAAACATCGGGGGAAAGTCCAGTTCTACTTAACAATGGATTATTTCATGGTGTACTGGGAAGAAAGGGTGACATTTTCTATTGCTATTTCATACATTCCTGTATTTGAATTTCCTTAACACCATATCCTATATAATAAAAACCTAATATGTAAATTGACCTCACTCAACTCATATAAGATGGCAGCCCACATATGGACACAAGATGGCTAGCAGGGGAGGGCAATTAAGGGTGACCAGGCCTGCAGGGGAGGGCAGTTAGGGCAATCAGGCTGACAGGGGACAGCAGTTAGGGGCGACGAGGCCTGCAGGGGAGGACAGTTTGGGGTGACCATGTTGGTAGGGGAGGGCTCTTGGGGGCAATCAGGCCGGCAGGGGAGCAGTTAGGCTGGCATGGGATTGGTTAGGTGTCCATCAGGCTGGTCGGCAGAAGCGGGTAGGGGCAGGCAGGTGAGTGATTGGGAGCTAGCGATCCTGGATTGTGAGAGGGCTGTCTGTTGGAGAGGGTGCAGGCCGGGCTGAGGGACACGGACACGCGCGCGCGAATTTTGTGCTGCGGCCTCCAGTTTCTGTGATGAGGGTTTGTAATGAGTGACCTGTGTTTGCAGGTATCTGGCAAAGAACTCGGCGACTTTGTTCAGCGCCAGCGACTACGAGGTGGCCCCTCCCGAGTACCACCGGAAGGCCGTGTGAGCCCCCCCCCCCCGGGTCCGGCCGTGCTTCCCGCCCCTCCGTCCTGTACAAACGCCGTCCTTCGGAAACGTTAGTGTATCAGAGTCCATGTTGTTTTCTGTTGGATTTTAAACAGAGAAAATAAAAGGGGTTCCAGCTCCTTTTTCCTTTTCCTTCTCTCTCTTTCATTTGGAAGTCGCTGCCAGTGTGTGGACGGACACCAGAGACACGCTCTCTAGTCTCCTATGCCTAGTGCCGAAGCTGCTTTCACGCTGGCGGCCCTCCTTTGACACTACGCACTTTTCTAAGACGTGTGATGCTCTGACAGACGCTGACCCCTAGTGCCAAAGGTTCTCCGTGTACATAGCGCCCGCCCTCCGTCCGTGCTCCTTTTTTTTACGGTGCTGACAGTAACGAGCTTCTCCGCAGGCCGCCCCGGCCCCGGGCCCCGCGGGCCCCGACGGCCGAGGACGGTGGCTTGTTCCCGGTTTTGTATTTGTGTCTCATGCACGTTCTCCCACCATAGACGCAACGCCTCGTGTAGCCGCGGTTTTCTGGAAACGCCAATCTTTTAGGAATTGTTTTTCAGATCTCCAATAAATCTTTTCTTTAAATTTCAAAGCGCGCGTGTTTGTGTGGGTGCGTTACACAGCCTCCGGGGCTGCGTGTTCCCCGCGTGGTGAGGCTGGGCTCAGGCGGGGGGCTCTGTTCTGGTTTGGCCTCGGGGGGCTACGGAGTTAGAGGTTCACGTGGCTGCGTTTTTCCTAAACTGTCACTAACTCAGAGCAGAGGTCGGCAAACTCATTAGGCAACAGAGCCAAGTGTCAACAGTACAACAATTGTAATTTCTTTTCTTTCTTTCCTTTTTTTTTTTTTTTAATATATATATTTCATTGATATTTTTACAGAGAGGAACGGAGAGGGATAGAGTTAGAAACATTGATGAGAGAGAAACATCGACCAGCTGCCTCCTGCACACCCCCACCTGGGGATGTGCCCGCAACCAAGGTCCATGCCCTTGACCGGAATCAAACCTGGGACCTTTCAGTCTGCAGACCGATGCTCTACCACTGAGCCAAACCGGTTTCAGCTATATTTTATTGATATTTCATGGAGAGGAAGAAGGGAGAGACAGAGAGAGTTAGAAATGTCGATGAGAAAGAAACATCGACCAGCTGCCTCTTGCACACCCCCCACTTACCAAAACACTGAAATGAGATTCACATGGAAACCCGTCTGGGAGGTGCTGACATACTAGTGTCAGGGAATCACCGTGGCTTGATACTGAGTACAGACTGTCACATGATCAGGACCCATCCACATGCACAGTTATAATTGTTTGAGCTATTTTATTCTAATATACATTTTTTTTTTTTAAAAAAAACCTGGGTCTTCTAAATATTTGCACTTCCTGGTATTTGTTAAACCAACCAGCACGGGTCCAGTGAGTTTGCTGCCTCGCGTCCTGTGATGTAGAATTTGTAGGGTCCCGCCTCCTCGGGCCGGTGGTCCAATCACACGAAAGGATTGGACTTGAAGGACAGGGAGGTGCCTTGCCGGTGACTGACCACCTCTTGGCGTCTCACCCCCATCTCGTTACTGCTGTTCAGGGCTGTTCACCAGCGATGTTTTCTTACCGTTTTCCTTGCTGTACAGGGTGGGGCGACAGGAGGTGTGCAGGTGTTGGTGTGGGAAGTAATACACTCTAATAATAATAGCATAATCATGCTAATTAGACCTGGCATCCTTTCAGGTGACCTTCCAGACGAAGCCAGGGCTATGAGGGAAGCCCGGGTTCCGGCTGCCTGCCAGCGGGCAGAGGGAAGCTGGTGAGGTGCCAGCTGCTGGGGAAAGGAAGGCCTACTCTCTTTTTAAAGTATTATTTTACTGATTTTTTACAGAGAGGAAGGGAGAGAGAGTCAGAAACATCGATGAGAGAGAGACATCCATCAGCTGCCTCCTGCACACCCCCCACCAGGGATGTGCCCGCGACCAAGGTACATGCCCTTGACCCGAATTGACCCCAGGACCCTTCAGTCTGCAGGCTGACGCTTTATCCATTGAGCCTTACTGGTTAGAGAGGAAGGCCTACTTTTGCACAAATTTCATGCATCAGGCCTCTAGTAAATAATAACAGGAATAAGCCGGAACCGGTTTGGCTCAGTGGATAGAGCGTCGGCCTACAGACTGAAAGGTCCCGGGTTCGATTCCGGGAAGGGCATGGACCTTGGTTGCGGGCACATCCCCAGTAGGGGGTCTGCAGGAGGCATCTGATCGATGATTCTCTCATCGGTGTTTCTAGCTCTCTATCCCTCTCTCTTCCTCTCTGTGAAAAATCAATAAAATATATTAAAATAATAATAACAGGAATAAGCTTTCACTACTCAGAGCTGTAAACCTCCTTTAGCCCCACCCTGCAGAGGGCTGGAGTGTGTATCTCAGTGTTCTAGTCTTAACACCACATCGCCCCTCACCCCGTTCCTTCTGCAGCCCCAATATTTATTCAAAACCGTGTCGCTCTCCTCCTTGATAAAACTTTTGTCCTTCTCTTTGATAGTTCTTGAATTATGGGAGGGCAGCTGGGTTAGGTTAAAGGTCAAACTCTTCCCTGATACCACTTGTCCTGGCTTCACTGGACTGTGTGTGGGGCGGACCTGGGGTGGGGGGTGGGGGTGCAGGTGGTGGTGGTGGTGGTATGATGGTCATGTTTGCCTTGAGGCTTGCTTTCACATGTTTTTTAATGGAGAAATCAAGTGGGTAACAGCATTAGTCTATTAAAAATACCATATTTCAGGGATCATGTATTATACTTTATTTTAAAATATTATTGATTTTTTTTACAGAGAGGAAGGGAGAGGGATAGAGAGTTAGAAACATCAATGAGAGCGAGTCATCGATCAGCTGCCTCCTGCATACCCCCCACGGGGGATGTGCCCGCAGCCAAGATCCATGCCCTTGCTGGGAATCGAACCCGGGACCCTTCAGTCCACAAGATGACGCTCTATCCACTGAGCTGTACCTGACCAGGCTATTTTTACTTTCTTGTAAATATGTAGATGAGCACAAAAAGGAGAGACTAAATGAGAAATGACACGCCCCTCCCCCAAGTTGATCCCTTGAAAACACAGGGATATTGTGCATAAAGTCTCTAATGTGTTTACAGAGAAAAGGATTGTGAACGTGAGGGAGGGAGCAGGGTGGGCTTCCCAGAGGCACCGAGGGGAGGGACGGCCCCCTGACAGTTCCATCCCGCCTCCCACTGAGTGTTCTGGGAAAAGTTGCAGAGTCCCCTGAGGTGCCTGAGGCGGTGGAGACCTGCGAGGGGGCGGGAGGACCTGCGTGCCCAGATCTGCGGGTAGATGGTCCAGGGACAGGGGCCCATGTTCAGTGCTGCCTGTATCTAGCCGGTGTTCGCCTCCGTCACTGCGCCTTGCAGGCAGGCTGGCACTTTTTTTTTTTTTTTTTTTAATATATTTTATTGATTTTTTTACAGAGGAAAGGAGAGGGATGGAGAGTTAGAAACATCGTATGAGAGAGAATCATCGGTCAGCTGCCTCTTGCACAACTCCGACTGGAGATGTGCCTGCAACCAAGGTACATGCTCTTGACCGGAATCGAACCTGCGATCTTTCAGTCTGCAGGCTGACGCTCTATCCACTGAGCCACACCGGTTTCGGTAGGCTGGCACTTTTGACAGTCTCACTGAGGCTAAAGAGCGTCCGCCCAGGAATCAGGACCCCTCACGGTTCTCCCTGCGGCCTACAGTGAGTCATTATTCCTTCAGAGGATTTGCACATAGAATGTTCAGTGAGCGCGTAAGAACAGCGAGGCACGTGAGACAGCGTGATGAACGAATTACAAGCATCTCTTTGAGAGACGGGCTGCGCGTGGCAAATCGGTGCTTGAACACTAAGTCATCCTGTATAATAAGAGAGTAAAATGCAAATTGACCATCACGCCCTCACAAAGCAGGCCAATCTCCCATTCCCAGGGGATCCCAGCACTTTTCATTCGGGTTCAGCCCCGGCTGTTCCCTGGGGTCGGGCTGGGACCGGGCCGAGGGCAGCGGCCACATGGGAACCCCGCAGAGGGAGGCATGAGCGTCAGGCCGTCCTGCTCCTGCCGATGAGCCCGCGCCCATGGGGAGGAGGGAGAGCCGTGGGGAGGAGGGAGAGGGGGAGACATTGCTGGGGGAGAGTGTTTTGCTTGTGTTTGGACATGGAGAAGATTGGGAACAATGACAGCCAAAGAGGAAGTGAAAGGAGGAAGGAGATGAGGGCTCAGCGGTTGGTTTCAGAACAGATGGAGGTGGCTTCTGCCTGGAGGGACAGAGGGGGAGGATGGGTGGCTGAGCCAGGATGTGGTTCCGCTCCTGGAGGGGGCTTTGTCCTTGACCTACCTGTGCTCGGCACGAGCTCTAACCTCCCTGTGGGTACCCCCAAAGCGGGGAGCCCGCCAGAGCCGGATGGAGGGCTGGCCTGGGCTGGCGTGATCTGGGTGTGGACACAAGAGGCCCCATGCTGATCTGACAGCCCAGGGGAGGCCTGCGTGGCAGCCTCGCAAACACACAGACATGACATCACCCCACTGGGTGGTCTGAAACTAAACTTGAGCCCTAATAGGTGTTGCTCAGTGGATAGAGCATCAGCCTGGGGACTGAAAGGTCCCAGGTTTGATTCTGGTCAAGGGCATGGACTTTGGTTGCGGGCACATTCCCAGTGGGATGGGGGGGGGGGGGGGTACAGGAGGCAGCTGATGGATGATTCTCTCTCATCGATGTTTCTATTTTTCTCCCCTCCTCTCTGTAAGAAATCAAAGCATATTTTTAAAAAAGAACGAATACACAGAACTTCCTGCCTGCAGGTGGGACCAGCTGGGCGCTTGCTGCATTAGAGAACCTGAGGATTTGTTGTGAGGGGAGCCCGGAGGGAGGGTCTCATGGGTGTAATGAGCGTGTGTGGCAGAGAAACACGCCTGCGCTCCCGCCAGGACCCCTGTACGCGGTGCGCGGTGGCTCGCTGTCCGTGGAGGAGGGTGGGAGAGAATCTCGGGTTGGGCCTGGTGGCAGTTTTGTGGAATAAACTAAATGCGCTGCAGGGTGTGCTGTGGGGTCCGGGGCCCACTGGCGGGCTGCAGCGGCTCCTCGGCTGGGCTTTATCCCACGTCACCCCAGGATTGAAAACACAGGGTCTGGCCCTAGCTGGTGTGGCTCAGTGGGTAGTGTCCATCCAAGGGCACATGCCTGGGTTACGGGCTCGATCCCCAGTGGGGGGCCTGCAGGAGGCAGCTGATCCGTGATTCTATGTATCTCTCCCCCTTCCTCACTGAAATCAATAAAATGTATAATAACCTAATATGCTAAATGTCCAGTCGTCTAGTCAACCAATCAGAGCGTAATATGCTAATGAGATGCTAAGGCCACCCAACCGATCCCTATGACTGGAAGGTTAGCTTGCTGCTGGGGTCCGGACCGAGCCAAACAGGCCGGACATGCCCTAGAGCCCTCCCACGGCCCCTCCCCCAGTGGGGTCCCCGTGGAGGCGGGGCCAGCCGGACCCTACTTGTGCACGAATTTGTGCAGTGGGCCTCTAGTAAAATATATTTAAAAAACCAAGCACAACACAGTGTCTACACAGAGAGGTGGTGGGAGGGGGGACAAGGCCCCAAGCACCTGTGTCCTAAAATGCTCTCCCATGATCACCCAGACACCTGGGCAGCCCCTGGCGCCCCCCACCTCCTCGGAGGCCGGTGCCCCCAGGGCAGGCCCGTGGGGTCCCCAACTGCCCCGGACTGAGCACCCGGCGCAGGCCCGGCCAGGAGGTTCTCGCTGAGCGTTTATTGGGGGGAAGGCCACAGGAAGGCCCCGCACGCCCTCCTGGGTGCACGAGGCCTCGGGGAGAGAATATCCCTGGAGCCCGTTAGATCCAGGCTAAGGCACGTCTGGTGTCCGCTGTGGCGGGAGGCAGGCGGGCTGGTGACTGGACCTCCTCCTCCTCTTCCTCCTCCTCCGTCGGGGTGAGGATGCAGAGAGCGAGGGCTGGGGGCCCCCACGGTCTCCCCGGCTGCAGCGGGGCCTTCTGGGCCCCATGCCCGGCGGTCTCCATGGCTCACACCTGCGGGATGGGGTAGGAGGCGCAGGCCGCCAGTCCGCACATGTTCTTCCCGCGCTCGATGAGGAAGTACCTGTGAGAGGGAGCGCGGCCTGAGGCCTCTGGGGGTGTCTGCGGCCCCCGAGGCCCGACGCCACGGGTGAACCCCCGAGTTGATGCTAACACGGCGGTCCTGGGCTTGTTTGTGTCCAGGACATCACTGACCTGACCCGGTGGACCCCAGCTTCTCACTCCTCCCAGAATCCCCTGAGGGCCCCTGGAGAGCCCTCCCTAGCCGCCCCCTCCCCCCGTAGTTAGTTCATTACCACCAGGGCCCCCCCCAAAGTAAGGACGTGGACAAAGTCACTTTGGGGGCCCGGCTGGCGTTGACCCAGGAACCAGGAGGTCAGGGTTCGATTCCCAGTCCAGGGCACATGCCCGGGTTGCGGGCTTGGTCCCCATGGGGGGCATGCAGGAGGCAGCCGGTCCAGGATTCTCTCTCTTCATGGATGTTTCTCTCTCCCCCTCTCCCTCTCTCACACGGTGGTTCTCAACCTTTCTAATGCCGTGACCCTTGAATACAGTTCCTCAGGTTGCGACCCACAGGTTGAGAACCGCTGCTGGAAATAATTTTATGGCCGGGGTGCCACCACAACATGGTGAACTGTATTAAAGGGTCGTGGCAGCCGAAACCTGTGTGGCTCAGTGGATAGAGCGTCGGCTTGTGGACTGAGGGGGTCCCAGGTTTGATCCCGGTCAAGGGCATGTACATAGGTTTCAGGCACATCCCCTTTGGGGGGGGGGGGGTGCAGGGGGCAGCTGAGTCAATGTTCCTCTCTCATCAGTGTTTCTAGCTCTCTGTCCCTCTCCCTTCCTCTCTGTGAAAAATCAATAAAATATATTTTAAAAAATAAAGGGTCACAGCATAAGAAAGGTTGGGAACCATTGCTCTAATATCAATAAAAACCTTAACATACACCGAGTGGCCAGATTATCATGATCTCAGGATGCAAAATAATCTGGCCCCTCCGTGTGCGTGCGTGTGCGTGTGCGTGTGTGTCAGAGGCCTGGTGCATGAATCCGTGCATGGGTGGGGTCCGGTCAGCCTGGCCAGGGGGAGGCGGAGGGGACATGGGTGGTCGGCCAGCCTGCCTGCTGGTTGAACTCCTGGTTGAGGGGACCATGTGCATATTAGCCTTTTATTCTATAGGACAGACACTGAGTGGACAGAGAATCATGCGTTCAGAGACCATCATCATCTGGCCACTAGGCCACTGGTTCTAGCCCTTTTCTCCCACAAGGGGGCGCTGACGGCCACCATCAGGGACAGAATTGCTGCCTGGACCTGGACGGAATTGTCCAGATCTCGGCCCAGCACAGGGCCAGGCGAGGGGCTGCTAGGGGGGCCCTGGCATATGGTTTCCTTCTCCCCCTCAACCCCCTCCCAAAGCTCCCGACCTGAGCAGATACCCCTCCCCGCACCCCCTGCCCCCCAGCACAGGGACCTGCCGCCTACCCGTTCATCCCCCACTGGGGGCCCCAGGAGTTCTTGACGATCCAGTAGGGTTTCCCGTTTTCTTCTCCGTACCCCACAGCCAGCACCGCGTGGTTGACCTTGTCTGGGGTTTTATGGCAGGAAGTGCTGGGAAACAGAGGGAAACGGGCTGACAATGCGGAGGGACGAGGTGGGGACACGCTCCGAGTCAGTTCCAGAAGGGGGGCCTGGCGGTGAGCCCATGGAGCCGCGAGGTGCTGGCCACGCCCCCTATCTGCTTAACCCCGCCCTCGCCCCACCCCATCCTATCAGGCCTCGCCCCTCCCTGCTTGACTCCGCCCTCGCCCACCCAGCCCCACCCTCACTGCCTGGGCACGCCCCTGTCCTGCCTGGACACGCCCCACCCACCCACTATGACCCTGCCTGGCCCCACCCTCACTCTGCCTGGCCACGCCCCTCCCTGCCTGGCCCCGCCCAGCGGTGGGAATGAGGCCTAAGGGCTCCCTGGCAGGTCCTGCAAAGCCTAGCGCCCTGCTTGCAAGGGCTTTGTCGCGCTGGTGCTTATTTCCAAGCAAATAGCAGGCTTCCCAGAACCGGTGAACTCGGTTCCATCAAGAAAGGGCCGGTGTGGCTCAGTGGGGACAGCGTCCGCCTGCAGCCTGCACGGTCCTGGGTTCGATTCCCGGCCAAGAGCACATGCCTGGGTTGTGGGCTCCATCCCCCGTGTGGGGCGTGCAGGAGGCAGCCGATCCATGATTCTCTCATCATGGATGTTCCTCTCTCTCCCTCCCCCTTCCTCTCTGAAGTCCATTAAAACATGGCAGGAGGTTCTGAGGAGAGACTGTGAGCTCTGTGTTGGTTCAGCTGGCGTTCCTGGCAGCGCCAGGCCTGGGGGAGGTCCCCGCACCCCAGCAGCACGCAGACCTCTGCTGCTTGCACACACACGGCCACGACTGTGGAGGCTGAGGAGCCCCGAGGAGGGGATCTGACTCGGAGGGGACGGTGGGTGGGTCGGGAAGGGAACAAGGCCCTGTGTGCGGCCGGGGCGGGCCCTGGGCGGGATGCCGGGGGGGGGGGGGGGGCACGGTCTGATGGAAGATGAGCTTGGAGAAGGGACCAGCCTCAGGGAGGCGGCGGCTCCCGGGGCAGGCCTGGTGGGCGGGCGGCACCCAGGGAGGAAGCAGCTCCGTCTGAGCTCCTCAGGCCCCAGGCTCCCCAGGCGCCGTCCCCTGGAGCAGAAGGAGGTGGAAGGGGAGAGGCTGAGGAACGAGCCCTGGGGCGCCAGCATCTGGGGGGGGTATATTGGGGGGGAACCTGGGGGAGCTTCCCGGCTGGCACAGGAGCGGGGCATCGGCGGGGAACCCGGGGGGAGCCCCCAGCTCCGTGCCGTCGGAGCAGCAGCTCTCTCCCCTGTTCCGCACCTTCAGAGTTTTGAACCCGGGTTTTGGAAACTCAGGCGGCTCCTCTGGCGTGTGGCCTGGGCCCGATCCCCCAACCTCCACCCCCACCCTCTCTGCCCCTGGACCCTGCTCTCAGCTCTCAGCTCTCAGCTGTGAGCAAGCAAAGGGGCGCTGCAGGAGGGAGTCCTGAGGTGCTGGCCCCGCCCCCGCCCTTCCTGGCCCCGCCCCCGCCCTTCCTGGCCCCGCCCCTCCCTGCCAGGCCTTGCCCTCACCCTGCCTGACCCCGCCCCTGCCTTACCTGGCCCGCCCCCTCCCTACGGGGTCCCGCCCTCGCCCTGCCAGCCCCGGCCCCTCCCTGCCTGACCTTGCCCTCACCCTACCAGGCCCTGCTCCTGCCTGCCGGCCCCGCCCCCTCCCTCCTAGGCCCCCCCCTTTTAGTGCCGGCCCCGCCCCTCCCTGTCTGGCCCCGCCCCTGCCCTGCCTGACCCCGCCCCTGCCTTACCTGACCGGGCCCCGCCCTCTGCCGGCCCCGCCCCCTCCCTGCCTGACCTTGCCCTCACCCTACCAGGCCCTGCTCCTGCCTATCGGCCCCGCCCCCTCCTTTCCTGGCCCCTCCCTCACCCTACCAGGCCCCGCCGCCTCCCTGTCTGGCCCCGCCCCCGCCCTGCCCGCCCAGGAAGGTGTGGGGGCGGCGGGGCAGGGGCTGGGCGGTCTCACCTGGAGTAGATGCCCTTCCGGTACATCATGAAGTCGCTGGTCACCTCGAAGGCGAAGCTCACGGGGTTGTACAGCGCCACCGCCTCCACCATGGCCTCCTCGTCGTTCTGGGGGCGGACGGGGCGCAGGGGTGGGCAGGGGTCCCCTCCCCGCCCCACTCCAAGCGGCGGCTCTTGGACCCACAGTTGGTCAGTCTCTTGGTCGGTCGGTCGGCGGGCAGGACCGTGCAGACGTGCCCGAGGCGGGAGGGGTGGGGTGGGGACTGTTTCCCTCAGGGCCGTGCGGAGGCCTGTCACATCCTGGGAGGCCGTCCAGCCACCGGCGAGCCGGCTCCACGGGGTCAGCATTCAACTCACCCCGGGCCCGGGCAGGGCCAGACCGGGGACTCCACAGGCCTCGACGTCCCCCACCTTGTTTTATTTTTATCTTTCTAAAAATATATTTTATTGAGCCCTAGCCGGTGTGGCTCAGTGGATAGAGCATCATCCTGTGGACCAAAGGGTTCCGGGTTCCATTCCGGTCAAGGGCATGGACCTTGGTTGCGGGCACATCCCCAGTGGGGGGTGTGCAAGAGGCAGCTGATCGATGTTTCTCTCTCATCGATGTTTCTCTCTCTCCCTTCTCCCTTCTGCTCTGTACAAAATCAATTAAAAAATGTATTAAAAAGGAAAGGAAACGGAGGAAGCTTGGGGTGCAGACCGGGTGGGCCCGGGCCCCGTTGTTTAAGGGACTCACCAGGGTGATGTTGGCCACGTCCTTGACGAAGGCGATGGCCTTCTCGGGCTGGAACTTGCACTTGCCGTCCTGTGGAGGGCGAAGGGCAGGCGTCACAGGTCAGGGCCTCCCCCACGCAGCCTGGCCACACGGAGTGGACGCCGCGTGGGCCGGGCCTGGGGCCGGCGAGGGGCCTGGGGGACATGGGCTTCCCAGGAGCTCACAGGCCAGCGGCAGGAGACTTGGTGGGAGCTGGGGGGTCAGGAGGGGGCCCCACCCGGACCCGGGACCCGGGGAGACGGAGCTCAGGGCAGAGGGTCAGGGGAGCCACGTCACAAGCATCAGCTACAGAGGAGGGAGGAGGCCAGGTGGGGAGAGGCAGGACCCTGCCCGGCTGATGGGGCTCCGTGGCTAAGCACTGACCTATGACCCAGGAGGTCAGGGTTCGACTCCCAGTCAGGGCACCGGGGGTGTGGGCTAGGTCCCCAGTGGGGGACGTGCAGGGGGCAGCTGATCCATGACTCTCTCTCATCACTGAGATTTCTCTCTCTCTCTTTCCCCATCTCCCTTCTTAACTGAAATCAAAACATAATCCTATAGAATAAAAGCCTAATATGCTAAGCATAATATGCTAATGCTATGCTAAGGGTGCTCAATGGCTCCCTATGACGTGCACTGACCACCAGGGGGCAGACGCTGTAGGTTGGCTTGCTGCTGGGGTCCGGCCGATAGGGACTGAGCGAGACGGGCCAGACACGCCCTGGAGCCCTCCTGCGTCCCTCCCTGGACCCTATCGTGCACCCGTGGGGTCCCTCGGCCTGGCCTGCGCCCTCTCGCAATCCGGGACCCCTCGGGGGATGTTGGAGAGCCGGTCTCAGCCCCATCCCACAGGCCAGCCGGCGGGACCCCATGGTGTGGGAATTCGTGCACCAGGCCTCTAGTCAAAAAATAAAAAAGGAGGAGGAGCTCTCTTCCGGTGTTGCTCAGTGGGTAGAGCAGCCTGCGGACTGAAGGGTCCCGGGTTCAATTCCGGCCAAGGGCACATGCCTGGGTTGTAGGCTTGATCCCCAATAGGGTGCGTGCAGGAGGCAGCTGATCAATGATTCTCATTGATGCTTCTATCTCTCTATCCCTCTCTCAAATCAATAAAAAATATATTAAAACAAAAAGCCGAAACCGGTTTGGCTCAGTGGTAGAGCGTCGTTCTGCGGACTGAAGGGTCCCGGGTTCGATTCCGGTCAAGGGCATGTGCCTTGGTTGCGGGCACATCCCTGGTTGGGGGTGTGCAGGAGGCAGTTGGTCGATATATTTTATTGATTTTTCACAGAGAGGAAGGGAGAGAGATAGAGAGCTAGAAACGTCGATGAGAGAGAAACATCGACCGGGGATGTGCCCGCAACCAATGTACATGCCCTTGACCGGAATCAAACCCGGGACCCTTCAGTCCGCAGACCGATGCTCTACCCACTGAGCCACACTGTTTTTGGCAATAAAATATATTTTAAAAAATAATGAGAGAGGAGGAGGAGTGGCCGGGGAGGCAGAGGGAGCTGGGCTCCGGGGGAGGGGCCTGGCCTGAGGAGGGGCGGGGCACGGGGTTACCTGGCCGGTGTAGGGGTAGGTGTCCTCGCCCATGATGCCTTTATTGTAACGGATGTACTCGAAGGCCTGGCTGGGGAGGCCCCTGCGAGAGGCACACGGAGAGGCAGGACGGTCACCGAGGGTGCCCGGCGGGTCCCGGGCCCAGGGCGTGCCAGGCAGCCCTCCCTCCCCGCCCGGGGCGCGGGCCGTACCCCTGGCAGCCGTGGTTGTTGAAGTTCTGGGCGCAGTCCACCAGCTGCTGCTCCGCCTGGGCGGGGAGGGGTGGACAGGACGCCGGTGAGCGCGGTGGGGCCGGGCCCCGGGCGCTGACTGCCCGTGAGGCCATACCCACCGGCTCTGGGTCTGGAGACATCCGTCCCCGAAGGGGGGCCGCCCTGGGTCCGAAGCGCCAGCCCCACAGCCGGCCGGGGTGGGGGCCGGGGCCACGGTCCGCGGTGGCACAGGGCACGGGGCTGGGCCCCTCTCCCCTGGCCCCGGTGCCCGCCCAGGAGGGGGCTGGCATGGCCTTCGGGGCAGTGCCCTCCTGCCCGCTCTGTGCCAGCGCTTACCAGCGAGAGCATCTTGCCCGTCTTGATGGCGATGGCGGACTCCAGGGCCCCGGTGGTGGAGAAGGTCCAGCAGCTGCCACAGCCGCCCTGGAGGGGGCGGGTCCGTGACGGCACCGCCAGGTGCCTCTGACCCTCCCCGCCCCTCCCTCCCATGGCCCCGCCTCCCCTCCTGTGGCCCCTCCCTCCCGTGGCCCCGCCTTCCCCCTCCCGTGGCCCCGCCTCCTCCCTCCTGTGGCCCCGCCTCCTCCCTCCCTGTGGCCCCGGCCCCTCCCTCCCATGGCCCCGCCTCCCCTCCTGTGGCCCCTCCCTCCCGTGGCCCGGCCCCACCCTCCCGTGGCCCCGCCTTCCCCCCTCCCGTGGCCCCGCCTCCTCCCTCCCGTACCCCTCCCTCCCTGTGGCCCCGGCCCCTCCCTCCCATGGCCCCGGCCCCTCCCTCCCGTGACCCTGCCTCCTCCCTCCCGTGGCGCCGGCTCCTCCCTCCTGTGGCCCCGCCTCCTCCCTCCCGTGGCACCGCCTCCTCCCTCCCATAGCCCTGGCCCCTCCCTCCCGTGGCCCCGCCCCCTCCGTCCCGTGGCCCCGCCTCCTCCCTCCCCATGGCCCCGCCCCTCCCTCCCGTGGCCCCGCCTCCTCCCTCCCCATTGCCCTGCCCCTCCCTCCCGTGGCCCCGGCGCTCTGTCTAAACCTCTCCCTCACCTTCCCTCCTCCCATCGCTTTCCACCCGCAGTCCCAGCCCTAACGGTCCCCAGGCCCGGCCCTCGTGGCTCCGTGGTTGAGCGTCCACCTAGGGACCAGGAGGTCAGGGTTCGACTCCTGGTCGGGGCACAGGCCCGGGTGGCGGCTCCATCCCCAGTGGGGGGCGTGCAGGAGGCGGCCGACCCGTGATTCTCTCTCCTCATGGATGTTTCTAACTCTCCTTCTCCCTTCCTCTCTGTAAAAGTTCAATACGATATATATAAAAAAAAAAAAAAGGCTGCCGAAACCAGTGTTGCTCAGTGGATAGAGCGTCGGCCTGCGGACGGAAGGGTCACGGGTTCGATCCCGGTCAAGGGCATGCACCTTGATTGCGGGCACATCCCCGGTAGGAGGCGTGCAGGAGGCAGCTGATGGATGGTTCTCTCTCCCTCTCCCTTCCTCTCTGTACAAAATCAATAAAAATATATACTTTATTTGAATGTTTTTTTTAAAATATATTTATATTGATTTTGTGCAGAGAGGAAGGGAGAGAGACAGAGAGCTAGAAATGTCGATGAGAGAGAAACATCGACCAGCTGCCTCCTGCACACCCCCTGCCGGGGATGTGCCCGCAACCAAGGTACATGCCCTTGACTGGAATCGAACCCGGGACCTTTCAGTCTGCAGACAGACGCTCTACTGCTGAGCCAAACCAATTTCGGCTAAAAATATATATATTAAAAAAAAAAAAAGATATATTTGTAAAACAAACCACCCCCAACAACGCCCCACCCCCTACCTCAGGCTGCCCAGGCCCAGCCGGCCTGCCTGCCTCCTAGATACCCCCCACACCCCCCTCCCGCCACAGACACAGACACCGCCCCCTCCTGTCCCGCCCCGTCCTGCCATCCCAGCAGCCTCTGCTGTGCCCCTGCCCCCGCCCCCATGGTCCCCGCCCCCCGCCCTGCGCCCCCTGCACTCCGGTTTCATCACCTGTTTAACGGACAGAGGTGCTTGCAGGGGCGATAAGGCCTGCAGGGGAGGGGGAGCGTGAGGGGGGACTGGAGGAGGGAGGTGGGGCGGGCGCACCTGGTTTTTCACTTTGGAGACAAAGGGCCCTTTCTTCCTCCAGTCCACCGAGCTCGGGTAGGGGCCCCGGCCCCGCAGGTAGTTGCTCTTTGTGGCCGAGCAGTTCTGCAACAAAAGGCAAACCTTTTTTTATTTATTTTAAATTTATATTGTATTGATTTTTTACAGACAGGAAGGGAGAGGGATAGACAGAAACATCGATGAGAGAGAAACATCCATCAGCTGCCTCCTACACAGCTCCTACTGGGGATGTGCCCGCAACCAAGGTGCATGCCCTTGACCGGAATCGAACCCAGGACCCTTCAGTCCGCAGGCCGACGCTCTATCCACTGAGCCACACCGGTTCTGGCCCAAATGATTATTTCTCGTCTCATCTCTTCTTTTGCGTGTGGCCCCTGTCCCAGATCTACCCATCAATCCCCAGTGGGGGCGTGCAGGAGGCAGCCAGTCCGTGATTCTCTCGCATCATGGATGTTTCTTTCTCTCTCTCTCTCTCTCTCTCTCTGAGATCAATAAAAAAAAATAACTTTTTTTAAAAAAGCTCTCCCAGCCGAAACCGGTTTGGCTCAGTGCATAGATCCTCGGCCTGCGGACTGAAAGGTCCCCGGTTCGATTCCGGTCAAGGGCATGGACCTTGGTTGCGGGCACATCCCCAGTAGGGGGCGTGCAGAAGGCAGCTGGTCGATGATTCTCTCTCATCCATGTTTCTAGCTCTCTATCCCTCTCCCTTCCTCTCTGTAAAAAAATCAATAAAATACATTAAGAAATAAAATAAAATATCATCTTTTTCCCCTCTTTTCAACTAAAATTTCACTTTTAGCTCAGCATCTGTCTGCATGCTACTCGGCAGCCTGAGAGCTGGGCTGAGGGGCTGCGGGGAGCTGGCCTCTCGGGGCCCCCCCAGCAGCGGCCGGGCCAGTGGGGGCGGAGGGCGGGCGTGCAGTTACTCTGAGGAGGGCGCGAAGGGACGCGGGCTCGCCCCGCAGGGACCCACCTGAGGCTCGGACCACAGGTACTTGTGCTTGAACTCCGCGAAGGTCATGTCGGAAAACGGGTTTATTCCCACTGCACGGAGGAGGGAAACAGGCCACACGTGAAACGGAAACAGAGACTGAGCTGTGGGTCCCGGGAGAGAAGCAGAGACCGGGCCCTGTGCGCCCTGGGCCCGTGGCCATGTCACTTGGTTAATGTCAACCGAGAGCCCCGGGTCAGCCCCGAGGTCAGCTCAGCCCCGAGGTCAGTGCCCGAGGTCAGCTCTGAGGTCAGCTCAGTGCCTGAGGTCAAGCCTGGCTGCGCCCCCAGAATCCCCCGGGGGGCCCTGGCCGGTGTGGCTCAGTGGATGGAGCATCGGCCACGGGAACCAAAGGGTCCCAGGTTCGATTCCAGCCAAGGGCACGTTCCCTGGTTACAGGCTCCTCCCCGGCCCGGGCCCGGTCAGGGGGCGCGTGCAGGAGGCCGCCCACCGCTGTGTCTCTCTCCCCCATCGATGTTCCTCTCCGCCTCCCCCTCCCTCCCACGCTCCCTACACACGGCCGGGAGAATGTCCTCGGGGGAGGATGCTCTGAGAAGGAAAACATCGTCCGGAGATACTGAAGGAGGGAGCGGGTCCCGGACGGTGTCCCCCCGCCCCCCACGCCCCGTACTTTGGAACGTGTGGTTCTTGGCGTTGTGAGCCGCCATCCTCCTCCGGTTGTTGGCGAAGGTCTGCAGCCGGTGCTGGTACTCCGCGGTGCCGTAGGTCTTCTGGTGCTGAGAGGACGCCCAGGCTCAGGCCGGTCCGGGACCGGGCGGCTCAGGGCAACCCCAGCCCCAGGGCCTGGGGCCAGGATGGGGCCCAGGAGGTCACCCAATGCCCCCCCACCCCAGGGGCCCCAGAACAGGGACCTGCCCCGCCTGAGCCGCCAGCCCTGGGCACCCCCACTGGTGCGGGTCAGGCGTCCGGCAAAGTGCCCGGCTGGCGTGGCTCAGCGTTTGAGCCTCTACCTAGGAACCCGGAGGTCAGGGGTCGATTCCCGGTCAGGGCACATGTCTGGGTGGCAGGCTTCATCCCCAGTAGGGGGCGTGCAGGAGGCAGCTGATCCATGATCCTCTCATCATGGATGTCTCTCTCCTCTCTCTCCCTTCCTCCCTGACATTAATCTACACTAATAAAAGAGAAACATGCAAATGAACCATCACGCCGCTATGCTCAACAGCCAATCAGAGTGAGGCATGCAAATCAGCCTGAAAAGATGGCAGCAGCCCCGCCCCTCAGCTGCTCCAGGCCTGTGGGCGCTGGAGAAGGCGGGTGCCAGAGTCCTGGATTGTGACAGGGATGTCTGACTGCCGGTTATCCCCTGAGGGGCCCCAGATTGGAGGGGGTGCAGGCCGGGCTGAGAGACACCCCCTTCTCTCCCCCCCACCCCCATGCATGAACTTCATGCACCGGGCCACTAGTAAAAAATATTAAAAAAACAACCCAGCCAAAACCAGTGTGGCTCAGTGGATAGAGCGTCAGCCTGCGGACTCAAGGGTCACAGGTTCGATTCCCGTCAAGGGCATGGACCTTGGTTGTGGGCACATCCCCAGGAGGGGGTGTGCAGGAGGCAGCTGATCGATGTTTCTCTCTCATTGGTGTTTCTGACTCTCTATCCCTCTCCTTTCCTCTCTGTAAAAAAATCAATAAAACCACCGTAACCGGTTTGGCTCAGTGGATAGAGTGGAAGGTCCTGGGTTCGATCCCGGTCAAGGGCATGTACCTTGGTTGCGGGCACATCCCAGTGGGGGGTGTGCAGGAGGCGGCTGATCGATGATTCTCATCGATGTTTCTAACTCTCTATCCCTCTCTCTTCCTCTCTGTAAAAAAATCAATAAAATATATATTTTTAAAAAGTCAATAAAACCTATTTAAAAAAAAAAAACACCAAAAAACCCAAAATGTAGAATGAACCCTGAGGCTTGCAAGGCTGGTGGCCGGCCCTCGTCCCTTCCCGCAGACAGAAAGACCCGGAGGCCACAGCTGGGAACCCCCCTCGCCTGTTCCCCCTCCCCGTTCGCCCTCCCCCCACCCTCTGCCTCCCATATGGCCGGGCCTGGCCAGAGAACAGGAAGCCAGAGGCAGGAGAAACTCAGAAAGAAGAAGCGGGTACCGACCTGCAGCATCCAGGACTTGAAGCGAACCATCTCTGCAGAGAGGGAGAGGAGTTAGGTGTAACCATCTGAGTCCTTCTCTTCGATAAGAAGTTAATTTTAAAAATCTATATACGTGCCGAAACCGGTGTGGCTCACAGGATCGAGCGTCGGCCTACGGACTCAAAGGTCCCAGGTTCGATTCCGGTCAAGGGCATGGACCGTGGTTGTGGGCACATCCCCAGTCTGGGGTGTGCAGAGGCAGCTGATGGATGACTCTCTCTCATCGATGTTTCTAACTCTCTATCCTTCTCCCTTCCTCTCTGTAAAAAATCAATAAAATATATTTTTAAAAAATCTATATACGTCATCCCAACCGGTGTGACTCCGTGGCTGAGCGTCAGCCTAGGAACCAGGAAGGAGGTCAGGGTTCGATTCCCGGTCAGGGCACAGGCCCGGGTTGCCGGCTCCATCCCCAGGGGGGGTGGGGGCGTGCAGGAGGCAGCCGATGCGTGATTCTCTCTCATCGTGGATGTTTCTATCTCCCTCCCTTCCTCCCTGAAATCAATAAAAATACACACTGAGTGGCCAGAGGATGATGATCTCTGGACGCATAATAACCTGGCCACTCCGTGTCTGTCCTATAGAATAAAAGGCTGATATGCAAATGGTCCCCTCAATCAGGAGTCCGACCAGCAGGCAGGCCGGCCAACCGCCCATGTCCCCTCCCCCTGGCCAGGCTGGCCGGACCCACCCATGCACGGATTCATGCACCGGGCCTCTAAAAAAAAAAAAAAAAAAATATATATATATATACATACACTGAGTGGCTAGGTTATTAGGTGTTTAGAGATCATCATTATCTGGCCACTCCGTGTATATATTTTTTAAAATCTATATACTCCCAACCATGTGCAGGGAAAAGGATCGAGAGTACATATCTTAGCCTTTGCACGGTCGGCCCTGGCCATGCCACTGGGTGTGTTCCCACTGAACCCTCTTTACAGCCCTGGCCGGTGTGGCTCAGTGGACAGAGCATCGGCCTGCAGACTGAAGGGTCCCAGGTTCGATTCCAGTCAGTGCACAGGCCCAGGTTGCGGGCTCGATCCCCAGTTGGGGGCGCGAGGGGGCAGCCCATCCATGATTCTCTCTCGTCGTTGATGTTTCGATTTCCCTCTCTCCCTCGCTCTTCCTCTCTGACATCAATAAAAACCTATTTTAAAAAATAAAATAATAAACCCTATTTACAAACATGGGCCTGCCCATTGCCTGTGGGCCTCTCCCTGTCTAACCCTGCTCCCCCCACTCCTCACCCGCTTATGCTTAAGTTCTCTAAAAATTCACTTCTTTTTAATCCTCACACGAGGGATTTTCCCCCCATTTATTTTTAGAGAGAGAGGAAGTGAGCGGGAGAGACAGAGAGAAAAAGTGATGTGAGAGACACGCGTTGGCTGGTTCCCTCCTGCACACGCTCCAGGCGGCCAGGGCCCAGGCCCGGGATGTGCCCACAAGCCAACCGACATACATGCCCTTGACCGGAGTCGAACCTGGGACCCTTGGGTCCCCAGGCCGATGCTCTCTCCACTGAGCCACACTGGCCAAGGCTCTAAGCATTCATTTCATTTTTATTATTTTAAATATATGTTTTATTTTATTTTTAAATATATATTTTATTGGTTTTTTACAGAGAAGAAGAGAGAGGGATAGAGAGAAACATCGATGAGAGAGAATCATCGGTCAGCTGTCTCTTGCACACGGCCCCCTGGGGATGTGCCCGCAACCAAGGTCCATGCCCTTGATCAAAATCGAACCTGGGACCTTTCAGTCCGCAGGCCGACGCTCTATCCACTGAGCCAAACTGGTCAGGGCTATTTTTATTTTATTTTAAATATATTTCTTTATTGATTTCAGAGAGGAAGGGAGGAGAGATAGAAACATCCATGAGGAGAGAGAACCATGGACCGGCTGCCTCCTGCATGCCCCCCATTGGGGATGGAGCTGGCAACCCGAGCCTGTGCCCTGGCCGGGAATCGAACCCGGGACCCTTCAGTCTGTAGACTGACGCTCTACCCACTGAGCCACACAGGTCAGAGCAAGTCCTGGTGACTTTACACTCAGCCCCAGTCACACGGGCAGCCCCTTCCTGGCAGCGTCAGATGCCTTACACAGTTTCTCTTCCTCCTGAACCCCATCTGCACCCACACCCGCCCCAGAACATCGCCCCAAGGGACCATCTGCTTGCATCCGATCTCCGGCCCTCACCTCGCCCCCATGCCACAGGACAAACGTGTATATTTCCGCCCTGTTTACCTCCCTCCCCCCCGCCCCCCGTGACCCATGGGGCTCGGAATGGTATAGATTTGCTCTGGGCCCTAACCGGTGTGGCTCAGTGGATAGAGCGTCGGCCTGCGGACTGAAGGGTCCCAGGTTCGATTCCTGTCAAGGGCATGGACCTTGGTTGCGGGCACATCCCCAGTGGGGGGTGTGCAGGAGGCAGCTGATGGATGCTTTTCTCTCACCAATGTTTCAATTTCCTATCCCTCTCCCTTCCTCTCTGTAAAAAAAATCAATAAAAAATTTATTTATTTATTTATTTATTTTTTTAAAATATATTTTATTGATTTTGTACAGAGAAGAAGGGAGAGAGATAGAGAGTTAGAAACATCGATGATAGAGAGTCATCGATCAGCTGCCTCTTGCACACCCCCTACTGGGGATATGCCCGCAACCAAGGTACATGCCCTTGACCGGAATCGAACCCGGGACCCTTCAGTCCCCAAGCCGACGCTCTATCCAATGAGCCAAACCGGTCTTGGCAAAAATCAATAAAAAATTAAAAAAAAAAAAAAAAAGATTTAGCCAAAACCGGTGTGGCTCAGTGGACAGAGCATCAGCCCGTGGACTAAAGGGTTCCAGGTTCGATTCCGGTCAAGGGCATGTGCCTTGGTTGCGGGAACATCCCCAATAGGAGGTGTGTAGGAGGCAGCTGATGGATGTTTCTAACTATCTCTTTCCCTTCCTCTCTGTAAAAAATTAATTAAAATATGTTAAAAAATAATGATCTGGCCACTCTAATGTATATATATGAGGCCTGGTGCATGCATTCGTGCATGGGTGGGGTCCGGCCAGCCTGGCCAGGGGGAGGGGACAGGGGCGGTCGGCTGGCCTGCCTGCTGGTCGCACTCCCGGTCGAGGGGACCATGTGCCTATGAGCCTTTTATTCTATAGGAGATGCACTGAGTGGTCAGATGATTATGCAGCCAGAGATCATCATCTGGCCACTCGGTGTAGACGGTCCAGGCAGATTCCGTCCCAGCCGCCCCCTCCCCCGGGGAGGCTGTGTTTAGCTCAGCATTGCTCAACCCGGGCATTCCTGCCCCGCCCGAGTCACATGGACACTCAGCCGGCTCCCGGGACCCCATCAGCTGACACCCCGAGGCCCTGGCTCCTGGAAACCGGCTTCCTTCCTGGGAGCACGGACCCAGCCTGGATCTGCCCGGAGCCCGGAGGTCAGGGGCCGGGCAAGGGACCCCCAGTCTGTGCGGAACCCCTGGAATTCCCTTATGTGCCCCCTCACACCCCCAGTTTGAAGACCTGGGCTGTACAGAATCTAGATCTCGCTCTGGGGGTCACAGACCCGCCCCGGAAACCTGGGGGGACATGCACGGCCCCCCAACGCCTGCCCCGAGGCGGGTGTCAGAGGGAGGTCTGCAGACCGGGGTGCGGGCAGCTGGGGTCTGAGAAGGTTGGGGAGCAGCGTTGGGGGCAGGTGGAGTTGGGGGACCACCTGCCAGCATTTGCTGGCCGCTGGGGGGGGAGTCAAAGCAAAATGTGGAGCCCTGGCTGGTGTGGCTCAGTGGATAGAGCTCTGGACTGTGGACTGCCAGGTCCCGGGTTCGATTCCGGTCAAGGGCACAGGCTCGGGTTGCGGGCTCCATCCCCAGCGGGGGGCGTGCAGGAGGCAGCCGGTCCATGATTCTCTCTCATCACGGATGTTTCTCTCTCTCCTTTCTTCTCTGACCTCAATAAAAATATATTTTTTTAAAATCAACACGTGGGTGTGTAAACCCAGGACACAGGGAGTCCGTGGGGGAAGCCAGGGGAACCCCGGGGCGGGGCCCCAAGCCCAGCTACACCCATCACCATAGATTGTGACTCAGGGAAGAAGGGACTGGGGGAGTCGGGGGTGGGGAGGGGGGGTTGCCTGCGGATGATCTAGATCAGGGGTCTCCAAACAGGCCTGCTTCCTGATTTTATCCCATTTTCCCAGGTCTTTTTTAAAATCCTCTCCGCAGGATATCTCCCCATTGATTTAAAGAGAAAGTGGAAGGGAGTGGGGAAGAGAGAGAGAGAGAAACATCGATGTGAGAGAGACACATCCGTTGGTTGCTTCCTGCATGAGCCGCTTTTTAAAAAATATATATTTTATTGCCGAAACCGGTGTGGCTCAGTGGATAGAGCGTCAGCCTATGGACTGGAAGGTCCCGGGTTTGATTCCGGTCAAGGGCATGGACCTTGGTTGCGGGCACATCCCCCATGGTGGATGTGCAGGAGGCAGCTGATGGATGTTTCTCTCTCATCGATGTTTCTAACTCTCTATCCCTCTCTCTTCCTCTCTGTAAAAAAAAAATATATATATATATATATATATATATATATATATATATATATTATTGATTTCTTGCAAAGAGGGAGAGACAGAAACATCGATGTGAGAGAGAGATACATCCATTGGCCGCCTCCTGCATGCCCCCTGCCTGGGGCTAGGGATGGAGGTGCGTGCCCCTGGCCGAACCTGGGATGGATTGGGCGCTACCCACTGAGCAACACTGGCCGGGCCTGTGGTTACGGTTTTGACTGGTTGGGGGGGAATTCCCCGGGGAATCATTGGGGAACTCGGGTTCCAGCGCCCACAGGGTTGGCCCACGGAGGCAGGGCCTCAGGCAGTCCTAAGGGGCTGCCACGGGGACCCCAATATTTACCCTCCATCCGGCCTCCCATAGGAGAGGCCTGCGCAGCCCAGCCCTGGAGTTAGAGGGGTCCCGGTCCCCCTCACCACCAGGGCCAGGCCCAGCTCTGGGGGTGGACGGGCTGCTGGGTCCGGGTTTGCAAGATTGGGGTTTTTCTTTTAAAAAAATATATAGATATTTCTTTACTGATTTCAGAGAGAAAGGGAGAAGGAAAGAGCTAGAAACATCAATGATGAGAGAGAATCATGGATCGGCTGCCTCCTGCACACCCTTAGGGATGGAGCCCACCATCCGGGCAAGTGCTCTTGGCCGGAATCGAACCCGGGACCCTTCAGTCCGCAGGCCGACGCTCTACCCACTGGGCCACACCGGTTTGGGCGGGGTTTTTCTTGTATAAATGGGGGGAGGGGCAGGGGCCTGTGGGGTGGGATGGGGTGGCCCGAGGCCCCGCGGGGGGCAGATGGGGGAGCAGCTCACAGGGGCGCGGGCTCACCCGGACCCCAGGGCTTCCGCCTCCGGGCTGAGGCCGGCCCGCCTCCTGCCCTCCTGCCCCGGGCGGGCGCGGCTGGGATCCCGGGGCCCGTCCCGGAGCGGCCGGGAGGCCCCGCGGGGCAGATGGGCCCCCCCCTTGGACCCCCAGGTCGGGGTGGAGGGCGCGGGCTGGGGCTCCCCCGCCTCTGCACCCCGCGGGGCTGGGGGCCCTGGGCGCCCGCCCGCCGCGGCTGGGGGCGCGCTCACCCCCTCCCGGCCCGGCCCCCGCCCCCCGCCGCCCCCACGCACCTGAGAAGCCCACGTACAGGCCGGCGGCGCCGGCGCTCAGGGCGCCCAGCAGCCAGGCGGCGGCGAGGAGCAGCGGCAGCGCGGGCCTCATCGCGGCGGCGGCGGCGGCGGCTCTGCCCCGCGCGCGCCGGGTTCCCGCGGGCCTAGTGCGGGGGCGGGGCCTGGAGAGGGCGGGGCACTGGGAGGGCGGGGCCTGGCGGGAGGGCGGGGCCTGGCGGGAGGGCGGGGCTCCGGCTCTGCCCCGCGCGCGCGGGCCTGAGCCCAGGTCCTCGCAGGCCGAGCGCAGGGGCCTTGGCGGGGAGGGCGTGGCCTGTGGAGGGAGGGGCCTGTAGGGGCGGGGCCTGGCTGGAGGGCGGGGCCCGGTGGGAGGGCGGGGCTCCGGACTCTGCTCCGGGCCTGGAAAAGTGGGGGCGGGCCTGGGTGGGTAGATGAATGAAGAGATAGAAGAGTGGATGGGTGGATGGGTGGATGGATGGATGGATGGATGGATGGTTGGATGGGTGGATGGGTGGGTGGGTGGATGGATGGATGGATGGATGGGTGGATGGGTGGATGGATGGATGGGTGGGTGAGTGGATAGATGGGTGGTGGGTGGATGAAGGATGGATGGATGGATAGATGGATAGATGGATGGATGGA